TATATCGTTATGGCTCTCATTGCCCGGTGCATATTTTTTGTTAAGTGTTTACTCATGAACGCCTAAAAAAAAACTCTATCGTCCAAAATTCGCCCCCTAGTGGGCAACTGGGACGATAGCTTCCAATCAGATCGCAAACATCTCACGTTTAGCTCTCCATTTGAAAATAGAAAAACCCGGTATATCTATGTCCGTGCATGAGTGGGATCGGGACGTGATGGTGTGGTTTGATGGTGTGTGGCGTGATAGTATGATCGGCTACGATGGCCATGAATGTTCCAGCGAGATGGTAAAATTGGGTACTAAGTATACAAGGAGAGACAATTCTTAAACAGGGTTGTGGAAAATGGCTCGTGATACTTTTGGGTACATTTATTTGTCCAAACCTAATCGACGTGTTTACTTATGCATTAACAAGTTCCCTCTGAACTTCGTTTCCGTTGATTAGTCATACTTGGTGATTCTTGGTTATTGTGTTCCGTTAACTTTGTGGAAACCAAATTTGCATAAAGTATTTGCTTCTCCGTTGACCATTGCCTTTTGACTTGTGTTATCTGGACAAGGATACAGCTAGTTACACAATACAGGCCATACGTGCATGCCTATCCGTAAAAACAGTTTAATTAATAACGTCACATTCAGCAACGAGAGTGGTGATGTCGCAATAGACGTTAAAGAAAAGAGAAGTTTGTTCCGTCTGTTGCATGGATGGTCCCGTTTAGTCAATTTCCCGGTTATTTTACAAGGGAGATCCGTGGTGCGTGAGCACAGCAACAACGAAACAAAGACGAATAAAGTGTCCTGAAGGAATATTGCACAAGGAACAGAGTAACTGGGCTCCGTGGCGAATGTATCCGTACTTTTTACGCTTGTGGCTCCGTCCATTGGTATTTCAGTCGAGGCATTGGGATGCTTTCTCTAAGCCTTCCTTCATTCATCATTGGCTTCAATAATGTCGAGTAAAATATATATTATATTGGTAATAAACAAGTGGAGAAGATATCAACCGCCTCATATTTGGCGCTGACGATGGTCAGAACAATAAATGGAACTAACGATTTGTGTCTGCAGCTTGTCAGACCAATTTAATTGTTGTCCTCCGGCAAGGCCCATCGGTGGCACTGTCATAGTTGCGGCAGCTGTAGAAACAGGCAACGTGAAACTGAATTTTGATTTAAAGCTTTCGTGACTGCAGTAATTCATATTCTTAGTTTTTTCGGTAAAGTCACGTTGAAGAGAAACAACAAAATAATAAAATATATATAAAACAATAAAAAATTCTCACGACGTTTCGACCATAACTCAAACGGTCATCTTCAACGTGACTTTACCGAAAAAACTAAGAATATGAACGTGAAACTGCTTCTTCTTTTGTACGGCTGCTGATGTAAATGCAGAGCGGCAAACTGCAATGCCACATTCATGTGGTCGAGTCAGACAACTGCATCAGGAGCAGCTGAGTGTATCGCTGTGCTGTCTCCTTCGTATTTGTGGATCGGGCATTGCGTCGTTATATGTTGTACGGTCTGTTCTGGATGACAAGAGAGGCACACTACTGGAGAGTTTTTAATTTTTAATTTGTGGTGTGGGTATCCGCATCTACCATGGATTGTGTGGATGCGGTTTAGGGTGGACCATGAGCTTCGTGGAAGATCAAAACCAGGGATCTTCTGCGTTGGCTCTTTCACAAGGTGTTCATTTGTGAGTTCGCTTTATTTCAATTGATCTTTGTAAGCTTTATGGATTTCGTATTGAGTCAGGTTAAGCGCATTTGTCCAAAAGGGACTTCAAGTACAACAATCGCCCACGGACGCGCGACGACACGTCACTGAAGCCCCCGGATTGACATTCTTTAGAGTGGAGTTTCCAGACAGTAACTGTGTAAATGTCAGTAATGAGAACCCTTAAAGGCAGTAACCACGTGTGTCTAGAGTTTACGTCACCGTCTGGCGAATTTCACCTGCAACCTAAGGGCAGGCGCGCCCCAAGTAAGCGTGGGAGATCCTCATAAAGAAAAGGTCGTGTCTTTCTTTTTTTTACAATCTATTGAAGCCACGGCATTGCTGACTCACCCTAGTACTTTTGGATGTTTTTTTCTAAGGCTGGACGCGGTATTGAGACCAGGCTGACAGGGACACGTGGCTGACTTGCCTCCATGCTTAATTCGGCTCGCGTGTTGTACTGCGTGTGCTGGCATGTCTCAAATTGCACAATGAATAAACAGAGGGGAATTCAGTTTAACACGTAGGAGGCTTTCGCGACCAATATCCATAATACAGGGTTTTGGGGTTAGATCGCGTACATATGTAAATGTGTCGTTAAACCGGCCACCACCCGACACAGCCAACTAGTAAGGGTTGTCACGTAAACAGAACGTGGCCAATTCGTCACGAGTACAGCACACCGGTGCGTTGGAGAGCCAAGCCACAACATTTACAATCTGAGTACGACGTTTCGCCAGTGATTACAACTAGCTTCATCAAAGCGAGATTGGAAGCCACCTAACGGAGGAGTGAATTGCAAAACTACACGAACTCTTAAAGGTTTTATGCGTTAGATTTCGTAAATATAAATGTCGTTAATTCACCCAACACAGCCAATTCGTAAAGTTCGTCACGTAAACAGAACGCGCCAATTTATTTACAAATTCAGCACACCGTTCGTGTGTTGGAGAGCAAACCCACACCATTGCTGTTGGCTGTGTCGGTTGGTGGCGGTTTTACCGACGATCTAACCCATTAAAACCTGTATTATGACTTTAAAACCTGTATTATGACTAATATTGGTCTCGAAAGCCTACCACTACACGAACTCTCTCCCGAACGCCCTCTCGTCACAGACGGCTATCCGACCCTCCTCGACGTGGGGTTTTTTATGGCTCCTGAACAGCCCTGCCACCGGGCAGCCACCAACACACCGCGCGAGAGTCGAAGTGGAGATTCCACTCGAGAAATTCGGTTGCCCCAACGGACCCCATCTCGATTAGGTCTGAATTGGTCTGTACTTTATTGGTCTGTACTTTATTACAGACCAATTCAGACCTTTAGGGGCCGTCCATAAATGACGTTACGCCATTTTGGACGATTTTTTACACCCCCCTCTCGTCATACGGCGTCACAAAAAGTCAGACCCCCCCTCAAATATGACGTCACAAAGCTCTGCCCCCCCCCCCCAAAACATTTCCATTTTGAAAATAAAACATGCTTCAAATCGCTTTAAACTATTGTCATTGTAGTGCGTATTTAATGTGGCGCTGTACTCTGATGTTGTAGTAGTGTTGTTATAACAATTAGTGTTGTTATAACAATTCTATATTTATTTAAAGTTGCGCATTTTGATGTGACGTCATATTTCTCAAACACCCCCCCCTCGTCACACATCGTCACAAATGTCTGACCCCCCCCCCCTAGGTGCGTGACGTCATTTATGGACGGCCCCTTCTTGGTCACCCCGTGCCCTTCAAAATCTCAACGTTCATCCTACAAAGTCCCATCACAAGGAAGAAACACAAGCAAATAGGCAAAACATTTCATTTAGTGCCCGTATTGAAACGGCTGTACGCCGTATGGACATGAAAACTCAATTTCCATGTACAAGAATACGGGGTAAACCGTATAGGTTGACAGCTATTCTTTTTGGTTCTATTGGGTAAAGTCACGTGGGTAAAAAATAAAATAACAAAAATCACGACGTTTCGGCCACAACACAAGCGGCCTTCATCAGGTGAAGGGACGAGACTGTCTGGAGGACAGCGCTGGAGTGAATCTAGAATAGGTTGACAGCTGTGTATTATTGTACGGGGCCGTCATAAGTGACGTCACGCAAATGGGAGGGGGGGGGCAGACATTTGTGACGATGTGTGACGAGGGGGGGGGGGGTTTGAGAAATGTGACGTCACGTAAAAATGCGCGACTTTAAATAAATATACGCAACACGTTCTACTTAAATTTTGATTTAAAGCTTTCGTGACTGCAGGGATTCATATTCTTGGTTCTTTCGGCAAAGTCACGTAGAAGGGAAACAATAAAATAATAAAAACATAAAACAATAAAATTCTCACGACGTTTCGACTGCAACACAAGCAATCATCATCAGTGTTGTGGTTTTCACACCTGATGATGATTGCTTGTGTTGCAGTCGAAACGTCGTGAGAATTTCTTTAAAAAGTATTTTTATTATTTTATTGTTTCCTTTCTACGTGACTTTACCGAAAGAACCAAGAATAAGTTCTACTTAATCAAGTAGGCTTTTAAATACATGTTTTCTCCTACAACATCAGAGTGCAGCGCCACATTAAATACGCACTATAATGACAATAGTTTAAAGCGATTTGAAGCATGTTTATTTTGACGTCATATTTGGGGGGGTCTGACTTTTTGTGACGCCGCGTGACGAAGGGGGGGGGGTCAAAATCGTCCAAAATCGCGTGACGTCATTTATGAACGGCCCCTACATGGAATTTGAGTTTTTAGGACCATACGGCGTACAGCTCTTTCGTGACTGCAAGGATCCATACCTTTTGGTTCTATTCGGTAAAGTCACGTAGGTTGTTTTATATTTTTTTACCTACGTGACTTTACCGAATAGAACCAAAGAGTATAAAAAATAAGTGTCTATTTTGTACTCTTTGGTTTTATTCGGTGAAGTCACGTAGGTAAAAAACAAATTAAATTAAAATAAACGGCGTTTCGGCCACAACACAAGTTTCTCCCTTGTGGTTGAGAGTTTGCAGGATGAACGTTTAGATGTATAAGGGCACGGGGTGACCAATAAAGGTCTGAATTGGTCTGTAATAATGTGGGCACTGATAAAGGGGGTTGACTGGCATGAGAATGCGTGGGTTGACACGAACGTAACGGGTGCCTTTAAGAGTGAGTTGCGGAAGGGGGTTGCTAACTGTGACAATCCGGGGGTCCCTTTAACAAACAGCGCCTCGGCTGGGATTTACCCGTTACGTCAACGCGACCGTGGGCGGAGTGGGCCGCGCGTTGCGCCCCTCCGATTGGCTGGGCCCTGGGGCCGCGTCGTCGAATGCGGAAAAGGGGCGGGGCCAGAGCGCACGCGCGCTCACGAGTTTCCGGTAAACGCCGTGGTCACGCGAGCGGTAAGCGAAGCGTTCACTTCTTTTTAACCCCTCCCCTACCCCGCTAACTTTGTTTTATTATAATTATTATTTATACATTATATATATTTTTTTTAAATATTGTCATCCACGCGGGTCCTTCTAAAGGCGGCAGCTCGAAGGTGCTCCAATTGCCGGCGAGTCGCCACGAGTTCAGGGTGAGCGAAGCCACGAGTTCAGGGTGAGCGTTTGCACCGGACAGATTCGTTTCGAGGGCTTAACTGTGAACGCACTGTGCAGATTTTTTATTTTCATTTTATAACGATTCAAAGCGGCAGCGGAACGCGTAGCAGAAGAAAAAAAAACAGACTCGACCGTGTGATAAATAATTAGGCGACGTTTCGGGCAATGACCCTTTTTGTCTCGCGCGCGCACACACACACCATGGCGTGCGCGCGCTGTGTGTGTGTGCATGATATGAAGACCCGTTTTGCGGAAGCATATGGTTGTTGATAGGAACAGAGCGCTCTATGTTTCACGTAAAGGCGTTATCACCCGAGTGTTGTTGTCGCCGCAACGCTGCCGACGCAGTGTCACCAAACTAGTTTCTCTCTTGGACTGGGCTATCGTCTTAGTTGTGGGTTCTTGGTGTGGGCTACCGTCTTAGTTGTGGGTTCTTGGAGTGGGCTACCGTCTTAGTTGTGGGTTCTTGGAGTGGGCTATCGTCTTAGTTGTGGGTTCTTGGACTGGGCTATCGTCTTAGTTGTGGGTTCTTGGAGTGGGCTATCGTCTTAGTTGTGGGTTCTTGGAGTGGGCTACCGTCTTAGTTGTGGGTTCTTGGAGTGGGCTATCGTCTTAGTTGTGGGTTCTTGGCGTGGGCTATCGTCTTAGTTGTGGGTTCTTGGAGTGGGCTACCCTCTTAGTTGTGGGTTCTTGGAGTGGGCTATCGTCTTAGTTGTGGGTTCTTGGAGTGGGCTACCCTCTTAGTTGTGGGTTCTTGGAGTGGGCTATCGTCTGAGTTGTGGGTTCTTGGCGTGGGCTATCGTCTTAGTTGTGGGTTCTTGGAGTGGGCTATCGTCTTAGTTGTGGGTTCTTGGAGTGGGCTACCCTCTTAGTTGTGGGTTCTTGGAGTGGGCTATCGTCTTAGTTGTGGGTTCTTGGTGTGGGCTATCGTCTTAGTTGTGGGTTCTTGGAGTGGGCTATCGTCTTAGTTGTGGGTTCTTGGAGTGGGCTACCGTCTTAGTTGTGGGTTCTTGGAGTGGGCTATCGTCTTAGTTGTGGGTTCTTGGCGTGGGCTATCGTCTTAGTTGTGGGTTCTTGGAGTGGGCTACCCTCTTAGTTGTGGGTTCTTGGAGTGGGCTATCGTCTTAGTTGTGGGTTCTTGGAGTGGGCTACCCTCTTAGTTGTGGGTTCTTGGAGTGGGCTATCGTCTGAGTTGTGGGTTCTTGGCGTGGGCTATCGTCTTAGTTGTGGGTTCTTGGAGTGGGCTATCGTCTTAGTTGTGGGTTCTTGGAGTGGGCTACCCTCTTAGTTGTGGGTTCTTGGAGTGGGCTATCGTCTTAGTTGTGGGTTCTTGGAGTGGGCTATCGTCTTAGTTGTGGGTTCTTGGCGTGGGCTATCGTCTTAGTTTTGGGTTCTTGGAGTGGGCTACCCTCTTAGTTGTGGGTTCTTGGTGTGGGCTATCGTCTTAGTTGTGGGTTCTTGGTGTGGGCTATCGTCTTAGTTGTGGGTTCTTGGAGTGGGCTATCGTCTTAGTTGTGGGTTCTTGGTGTGGGCTATCGTCTTAGTTGTGGGTTCTTGGACTGGGCTACCCTCTTAGTTGTGGGTTCTTGGAGTGGGCTATCGTCTTAGTTGTGGGTTCTTGGAGTGGGCAATCGTCTTAGTTGTGGGTTCTTTGACTGGGCTATCGTCTTAGTTGTGGGTTCTTGGACTGGGCTATCGTCTTAGTTGTGGGTTCTTGGACTGGCTATCGTCTTAGTTGTGGGTTCTTGGCGTGGGCTGTCGTCTTAGTTGTGGGTTCTTGGAGTGGGCTACCCTCTTAGTTGTGGGTTCTTGGACTGGGCTATCGTCTTAGTTGTGGGTTCTTGGCGTGGGCAATCGTCTTAGTTGTGGGTTCTTGGAGTGGGCTACCCTCTTAGTTGTGGGTTCTTGGACTGGGCTATCGTCTTAGTTGTGGGTTCTTGGAGTGGGCTACCCTCTTAGTTGTGGGTTCTTGGAGTGGGCTATCGTCTTAGTTGTGGGTTCTTGGAGTGGGCTATCGTCTTAGTTGTGGGTTCTTGGAGTGGGCTACCCTCTTAGTTGTGGGTTCTTGGACTGGGCTATCGTCTTAGTTGTGGGTTCTTGGAGTGGGCTACCCTCTTAGTTGTGGGTTCTTGGAGTGGGCTATCGTCTTAGTTGTGGGTTCTTGGAGTGGGCTATCGTCTTAGTTGTGGGTTCTTGGACTGGGCTATCGTCTTAGTTGTGGGTTCTTGGACTGGGCTATCGTCTTAGTTGTGGGTTTTTGGTGTGGGCTACCCTCTTAGTTGTGGGTTCTTGGTGTGGACTATCGTCTTAGTTGTGGGTTCTTGGACTGGGCTATCGTCTTAGTTGTGGGTTCTTGGTGTGGGCTATCGTCTTAGTTGTGGGTTCTTGGACTGGGCTACCCTCTTAGTTGTGGGTTCTTGGTGTGGGCTACCCTCTTAGTTGTGGGTTCTTGGAGTGGGCTATCGTCTTAGTTGTGGGTTCTTGGAGTGGGCTATCGTCTTAGTTGTGGGTTCTTGGACTGGGCTATCGTCTTAGTTGTGGGTTCTTGGACTGGGCTATCGTCTTAGTTGTGGGTTTTTGGTGTGGGCTACCCTCTTAGTTGTGGGTTCTTGGTGTGGGCTATCGTCTTAGTTGTGGGTTCTTGGACTGGGCTATCGTCTTAGTTGTGGGTTCTTGGTGTGGGCTATCGTCTTAGTTGTGGGTTCTTGGACTGGGCTACCCTCTTAGTTGTGGGTTCTTGGTGTGGGCTACCCTCTTAGTTGTGGGTTCTTGGAGTGGGCTATCGTCTTAGTTGTGGGTTCTTGGAGTGGGCTACCCTCTTAGTTGTGGGTTCTTGGCGTGGGCTGTCGTCTTAGTTGTGGGTTCTTGGTGTGGGCTACCCTCTTAGTTGTGGGTTCTTGGTGTGGGCTACCCTCTTAGTTGTGGGTTCTTGGAGTGGGCTGTCGTCTTAGTTGTGGGTTCTTGGTGTGGGCTACCCTCTTAGTTGTGGGTTCTTGGAGTGGGCTATCGTCTTAGTTGTGGGTTCTTGGAGTGGGCTACCCTCTTAGTTGTGGGTTCTTGGCGTGGGCTGTCGTCTTAGTTGTGGGTTCTTGGTGTGGGCTACCCTCTTAGTTGTGGGTTCTTGGTGTGGGCTACCCTCTTAGTTGTGGGTTCTTGGAGTGGGCTATCGTCTTAGTTGTGGGTTCTTGGTGTGGGCTACCCTCTTAGTTGTGGGTTCTTGGAGTGGGCTATCGTCTTAGTTGTGGGTTCTTGGAGTGGGCTATCGTCTTAGTTGTGGGTTCTTGGCGTGGGCTATCGTCTTAGTTGTGGGTTCTTGGTGTGGGCTACCCTCTTAGTTGTGGGTTCTTGGCGTGGGCTACCCTCTTAGTTGTGGGTTCTTGGAGTGGGCTATCGTCTTAGTTGTGGGTTCTTGGAGTGGGCTATCGTCTTAGTTGTGGGTTCTTGGAGTGGGCTATCGTCTTAGTTGTGGGTTCTTGGCGTGGGCTATCGTCTTAGTTGTGGGTTCTTGGTGTGGGCTACCCTCTTAGTTGTGGGTTCTTGGCGTGGGCTACCCTCTTAGTTGTGGGTTCTTGGAGTGGGCTATCGTCTTAGTTGTGGGTTCTTGGAGTGGGCTATCGTCTTAGTTGTGGGTTCTTGGAGTGGGCTATCGTCTTAGTTGTGGGTTTACAGCGAGGGTACAACAACGCTGCCCTTTAATAATAATCATGGCTTAGCCAATGTTGTTACCGTTCCGTGAAACTGCAGCGGCGATGTGGGGCGTGCGGCACTAGCGCAGCGACAACAACAACCATCACCCCGACGTGTCCAGCCAGGTCCCCCGGCCATAGGAATGGCGAGTGTGTCTCAGCCGTTGGTATGGGGGGGGGGGGTGGTGGTACGGGGGGGGGGCTTTCCTTTTCATTCAGCGGTGGGTTGCATCGTGACCCGTTATCTTCCTGTTTAAATGCAACCCGCATGAATGAAGACGGCGGTGCAGAATGCAGTGCGTGTTTGCCGCCACAACGTCTGTTGTGTGGCTTCCTTGGGGTTATTGTTATGGCTTGCCGTGCGCCCGACTCGTGTAGTTTATTTTACTTGAAACGTCGGCAGACCGTCCGCATTCCGATTGCGTTTAGGCGTTGCAATTAACTTTCAACGTATTTAAATCCGCTCCATTGTTTTTTTTTTTACACCTTGGTAGCGTAAGCTAGCGGTGGAAAAAGCATGGCTATAGGGTGGTAAATCGATGTTGATGAAAATGTTTTAGCTTGTGTTTGGTTTCAGTTTTTTTTTTCAAAAACACGGTTTCAAAGATCGCCCTCTTTGTACGTGTGCACACGATCTCATATTTGCAGGCTTTTAAAACGTGTATTTTGTTTGGGCGCATTAAGTATAGCAAAGCTCATGAGATAATCCTAGTTTGTCAATGCTGCAAGTTGTGTTGTACCCGAGGGGGTTTTTTTTTCCTTCCCAAAGCGGACATGAACTTTGAAAATGTGCGTTGCTAAGCGAGCAAACTCATTCTGACACCACGTTCAAGATTGTACAATGGGCCTCATGCGGGCAAATACAAAGCCATTCGCTCCAATGCCACGTAAACGAGCTAGCTGCTATGCCAGCACTACTGACTGCTATACTGCACAGTATTCGTCATTTCGATTTAAAGCTTTCGTGACTGCAAGGATTCATCTTCTTTGGTTCTTTCATTCTACGTGACTTTACCGAAAGAACCAAAGAAGAAGTATTCGTCATACGCAAAAGAATATTCAATTTGGGCTGCATTTAAAAAGTACTCACTTTTTCCCTTAAGACTTGTTTATTTAAGACATGTTTTTTATCAATTCTGCAACAATACAGGGTGGCCCAAAAAAAAGTGTGTGTTACCCTTGCCATATATTTCATACCACAGCAACTATAGACTAGATATTAGGAGAATAAGAAAACGTTTTGCTGGCTGCGTGCCAGGCGTGCGTGCGACGTCACCGCGCACATGTGCGTGATGACGTCACCTGGATTCCACAGCGCCGAGCGGGGTTCGTGCGTGGTGACGTGGCACAGAATCAGAATATGTATTGCTGCAGGAGAAATCCGATGAGCTGTGAAGCTCTTATTCACAGATGTCCAGTAGGGGCACGGGGCAAGAACGTTATAACAATAGACAGTTACACAAATCACGATAGGAGTGAAACGTATAGGAATGGTAAACAAATTATTAAAAAAATAGCTCACTGAGCTATTAAGCATCGTTTTCAGAAGCGATCTGACCACAAATTATAGATCATCGTAGTGGCTTAACACGCGAATCGTGAAACTGAATGGCAACTTTTGGACTATACCTCTAATGCGAGGGGAATATAGCCCCGCATCAATCACTACATGTTGTAAATCAAAGTCCAATGGAAAATTTAAATATACAGTATTTCGACTTGACCAGGTTCAATGCAATCTAATTTTTTACACGCTTTTATTTAACTCACTTTGTTGTTTTGTTGTATCTTCAAATCTTGTAACTCAATTTTAACTCACTTCCCGATGTGGTGTCGACTGCAAACTTGGTATACGTATGTCATACTGATGACAATACTATATTCTATCATTAGAAATAAAAATATATTTTTAAACATTATTTTTTATATGTTATGTTTCGGCTTTGATTCTAATTGTCCACGCTCAACTGACGTTGGCTGTAATTGTTTATTGTTAAATTTAAATTCACAGTTCCTATGATTACTGTTGTTACATTGTTTTTACAGCTTTATTTTGGTGATTCGAAAACATGGTTAATCTAAATTGTCTTATGGTTGTTCTTGTTGTTCACTTGCACCACATTGATTTTAACACACAGCGTTTTAACATGTTTTTTTGCGTGGAATATTTGCTGGTTTATTCCAGGATGTTTCTGTTACGCGTTGTCGCTTTAAGATGTTCTCTGTTCAAATTTTGTTTGTTGCGGTTGCACCCGACTTAAGAGCCGCATGGCTCACAGGGCTATACCTAATAAATGAAACTTGAAACTTGTTACGGCCCCCTTACGTTGGGGCAAGCTTCGGGGCCACTTCCTGCAGTCGTGGAGTTCTGCCATTACTAGTACGGTACATTTCATAAAAGCGTGTTTTAAAAAAAGTTTTTTAAAAATATTACTTTTTCTGTTAATGTTTTAGATTTATCTTTCTCCATCCTGTACAGTGTTGATAAAGTTCCATGCACTTTATTTCTTGAATGTGTTTGGCAAATGAGACGCGTTACAACAAACTCCATAGTACTTACAAAGATGTGTAGGCCTTCATAAATTGCGGTGTGTTGTTCAGACTCGTCTCATTGCAGAGCGCATTCAAAACTTTTCGTGCTGGAGTCGTGGCAATATACATGAACTTGTCACATTTTCAGCAGCTCTGAGACTTGAGCTGAATCACAACAGAGTAAAACATAAAGTATTTGTCAGAGATTCATAATAATCATTCTCGTTGATCTGAGTTTGATTCCAGGCCACGTCTACTTTCAGTGGCGAGTGATATTTCGACAGGTCCTGGGCATCCCGTATACCGACCTCCAGCGTGGTGAAGTACGGTCAGACAACCCACATGAGCAGCATGGGGTGGAGAGGGCCTTTATCGGGCAATGGATTGACAAAGAGCTCCATGAAAAAAAACACATTGCTTGTTGATAGCAATTCAGTGGAGTACTGCTTGGCTATGACAATTCACGAGGTTAACTTGGACTTGCCCGAAATAACTTTGATGTGTGACGCTAACACGGAGAAGTTACAACGCTTTAAAATAACGCACGTGACTCTGGTTTACATAGACTGTTGCCGTGCCCAGTTTTATAAATAGCAATGGAATAACTGATACTTGACTGCATTCAATTCTGTCGGCAGTAATTCATGAGCCCTTGGAGCATGCTGTTTTAGTCGACTATGGGCAGATAGATAAGGGAGGAAGTGTCTTTTTGTGAAAGTGTTGAACTTTTCGTTTGTTTATTTTCTGCTAGTATGTCTAACTCTACATAGACATTGTAGAGTGCACACTTCCTTTTTGCCTATGCACAAGTTCATGAAATATATTCAGACCCAGACCACCACCCCACCATATTTAGTTCTTCAAAAGGATATTAGTCATGCTTTGGCAATACAGTATTGTGCTCTATAACTTGGCTGGGCGAGGAGATAAATGAGAGCCAAAATAGGTCTTTCGGTAAAGTCACGTAGATCGTTCAAAGAAAATAACATCATCAGGATGATGATCGCTTGTGTTGTGATCGAAACGTCGTAGGTTTTTGTTATTTTCTTTGAACGATCTACGTGACTTTACCGAAAGACCCAAAGAATATGAATTCCTGCAGTCACGAAATCTTTAAGTCAAGAGGAAGAACAAAGTTCATGAGATGGTGGTGTTTACAGATTTTTAGTCTCTTATGTAATCATATACCCCAAACCCAACGATTTGGCAATAGTCAGGACTGTCATAAGCTTGAAAAAACATTTTTTTATCTCATTTTAACCATCTTATTTGCATTGTTTTTTGTTTTGTTCTGTCCTGTTTGTGCAGGCTCATTCACTGCTTTGGGCGAAAAATAGCTTCTAAATGTTAAATGTCGACTTAAAGCTTTCGTGACTGCAGGAATTCATATTCATTGGGTCTTTCGGTAAAGCCACGTAGATAGAAGAAAATAATAACAATAACAACAATATCACGACGTTTCGATCGCAACACAATCGTATTTTCACGCACAGTTTGATGCACATATCATGAGCACAATAATAGATTTTACTGTGCATTGTTGCATGCCTCGTGTTGAGCATTCGCTCGTGAGCTGGGACGCGCACGCACGTGTCACAGCAGCGGAAACGTCTCTCTTCCTGCAGAGTGCTGCGGTATCGCCGAGAGGCTGTCCCTGGCGGCATGGCGGTATCGGGTGCGTCATTAAGCAGTGACCTCTGCAGGGTCAGGTGGGAGGACCTGGAGAACAAGATTAAAATTGGCTCTGGAGGCTTCGGAATCGTCTACAAGGCCAGGCACAAAATCTGGACCATCGACGTGGCGATCAAGTGCCTTCTGCCCAACCAATCCAACGACAGGTGGTCACCGGCTAATTGCTTTTGCTTGCACGCGTACCTCGGCGTTGAACCATTGCACATTTGGAATTTTTGCGTGCAAATCTTTCATGTTACGTGGGTATGTGGTGCACGTATGCGCGCGTGTAATACCTTGTTTACCCATGGCACAAATGAGCCGTTCCCCGGGCCGCGCTCAGCCCGCTCAGCAGGAGTGCGGCTGAGGCAGCCCAAGGTTTCACCTTTTTATCCCTCCTTGAAAGCCATTGCATTTTAAAGCACTCACAGCTGTGTAATAGATGATACATTACTGTATTATGTGTAATTAAACCTTTGTAAGTGTACATTGTTTGAATTATATACGTGAAGGTACACGTATGTATATGAAGGTAAGTGCAATCTGTTTATGCATTATAGTCAATTTGACCTTTACACCCCTGCCTTGATGGCACACTATTGCCCTGTAGGTGTTATCCCTTAGCACACGCTAACAGACGATTTGCTAGAAAACCATCAAAGTTTCCATTTACTAAAGATATCCGCATGCCCCTCTTACAACACTTCACATTCCTCATTTGTAAGAACTATTGACAGTGTGCTTGCGTTTGCCCCTTTTCAGTTTTAGTCGTTACTCACGTGCAGGGGTCAGCAGTGTGCGGCTGCGGAGCCGCACGCGGTTACTTAAGGACTGCTGCTTCGTGACGTCGTTTATTAAGGGGCCACCGTCTCGTTTTCACATTCCGTTGCAGCTCTTTGAAAAAATGTTTCGTTTGCCGACCCCCTGCCCATGTGCGCGAGCTCTCACTTTAGATGCATTGAAAGTCATTTAGCGTTTGAGTCTAGCTTTAGCATGACGCGAGAGCAGGGGAAATTTGGCGCAGTGGTATTTGGACAATGCGCTTGTGAACCAGGCATCCGGAGTTAAATTTCTGGCCATGGCTAACATCTGCACTGGCCTTTCTCCAACCTGCACTAAACAGCAAAGGTGAAGTATGGTCAAACAAGCCCTTTAACCGACAAGGCATGGGGAATTGCAATTAGATCAGTTTACTAATTGTTTTATTTTCCATTTTACTTACCATATCTTCCTTATAATAAGGCAACTATTGAACAAAAAATGATAATATATTTAGGCATATTAATTAGATTTTATAATATTTCTATTTTTTTTAGTTCTCAGTTGATCAGTGCCATCATAGGTAATGACAATGAACCAATCGTAGCCTGTTAACTTTGTTAGCAATAGGAAAAACATTTAAACAACTTAGTTCAAGAAAATCTGTGAAAGACTGAGTTAATTGGGATAAGTTTTGTTTTTTACTTATTACCTAAGCATTTCAAGCAATACATTGGCAACTAAAACCCTGAACATTTTTGTTAGTTTTTTTTTATATATCTCCTTTCCAAAATGCAATTACTGTTTTTTTTGTGAGGGCATTACCTGACCTGACAAGCTGGCAAACTTGTTTTAATGCCTGCATTGATGCATTGTATAGTGCTCACTACAGTCAACTTTCGAGTATACAGCACGACCACGAAAATATACGAGTAGTATTATTTACCTGTTTGCTGCACGTTCTCATTTCCTGTGCCGGCATTGCAGCCACATTTTTTCGTCCCGCATTCCCACTCCACGCAGGAAACCTGCAGTGTATGCAGGGACTCATCCTCGTACTATTTGTGGTTCTCGCGTTAATAGCTGGACGATGGATAAACATTTTGAATACATCAATAGTAGGTAGTGCAGTTAACTCACAGCTAAATTTCGATTTAAAGCTTTCGTGACTGCAATGATTCATCTTCTTTGGTTCTTTTGGTAAAGTCACGTAGAATGAGAATAAAATAATAAATTGATAAAGTAAAATAACACAATAATATTCTCACGACGATGAAGGCCGCTTGTGTTGTGGCCGAAACGTCGTGAGAATATTATTGTGTTATTTTATCAATTTATTATTTTATTCTCATTCTACGTGACTTTACCGAAAGAACCAAAGAAGATAACTCGCAGCTATTCCCTGGGTGGGTTATGTTATCCATCAGCATTGCAGATTAACCACGCTTGCAGAAAAACATCTGACACGTGCTGATTGTATTATTATGAATCGATCCTCACTCGTTGGGGGGTCCATGACTCGGTGCACACATGACCACAACCATGTCGGTATGTAAACCGATTGCTCGAATAAGCGACAAAAGAACAGGTGACAGATTTCGCGGTGTTAAACAATACGTTTTTATTCAGTGTATTTTCAAATTTTCTATATATATTTGTATCCAGACAATAACTCTCCGCACGCCCGCCCCACCCGTCCCCCTGGCCACCCCCCCCCCCCCCCCTCGAAAAATGTCGGAACAATGCGCAGTAAATAACGCGTTCTATTTAAAATTCTGTTTCAGTGCCCGAGAGAAGCTTATGGATGAGGCAAAGAAAATGTGGCGCGCACAGTTCCAATTTGTGTTGCCCGTGCGCGGGACCTTTCGCGACGAGCATAACTTGGGCGTCGTGATGGAGTTCATGCCGTACGGCTCCATCGCCGGGCTGCTGGAGCGCCTGGAGCCGCCGTGGTCGCTCCGCTTCCGGCTCCTGCATGAAGTGGCGCTCGCCATGAACTTCCTGCACAGCCTGGAGCCCCAGCTGCTGCACCTGGACCTGAAGCCTCAGAACGTGCTGCTCGACGAGGATCTGCACGCCAAGGTTCACGCGCTCTCGTTCAAACGGATGCTCCGTAGTCGTTATCGGCACCTCCTCGGCTCGCCCGTGCTTGTCGTCACCATCATCGTCATCGCCCATCAGTCATGACCGGCGTCGTCTTCGTTAGAGATGCAAATTTGCATCGTTTTTTTTAATCGACTCTCTACGCTCACGACACGCACGTCAAAGCTACGCACGTAAGATTCAGTTACGTGTGAGTTATGCAAGTTGTATGATAACTACCCAGCAATTAAACTTTTAGGCTAATGCAGCAAATGAAGTTGCATACGCGAGATGGGAAAACAGTGGAAACAGTGCAAACGTGACGGTAAAAAACAAGACAAAAAAAAAGACAGGCTGTTCTTCAATATAAACGTGATGCGAAATTTTGCCTATTTTGGGGAGTGGGGCAGGGGAGTGTGAAGGGTGAATGATGACATGTGCTCTGCTCAAGTAACCGCAGTGGGGTCAAACTGTGCTGTCTGCAGGTCGCTGACTTTGGCTTATCCAAGTTCAGGAAGACTGAGGCTTCACATCGGAGTGATATGAACTTGTTGGGGACACAGGAGTACATGCCCCCTGAGTCGCTCAGCAACATCAATCACCATCCCAACACAGCCTTTGATGTCTACAGGTCAGAGGCTAAGCACTTGCTCAACCAGAGGTCTAAGGAGCTTAAATGCGAGGTTCAGTCGTGCGATATTCTTGCAATTACTTTGTGAGTAACAATCTTTTTGTATTACTCCGTTTAACAAAGGGTGAAGAACTGGGGTAAATAGCATTTTTTGTCTGCCATACAGAGCACATTTGTTCAAAGTACTCTTTTAATTAGAATTCTATTTCTTGGATATATGGGAAGACAGAAGCCCCATTATAATACTGTGTGTATCCAACAGCTATGCGATACTCATCTGGACTGTGCTTACACGAGAGGTGCCCTATGAATGTAAGAAAACCACTCGCACGCATATCCTAAAATATTTGAAATGTTTAAAAAAAAATGTTTAAGGTGCTGGCTTAATTCAGTTTGGTCTTGTTTCTCACATTCTCTCTCTTCATTACTTTATTTCCACCAACATTTGTCCTCATTTTATTCATTTTCTCATTCTCTTTTGGCATGGTCTCTCGTCCCAGTTATCCTTTTTCTGTTTTGGTTTCTCTTATTTCGTTTGCCTCTGCATCCCTATTCTGCCTGCCTTGTTGTCCAGTATTTTTACAGTTCTCTGTCGAATCTGTCTGGCCACCTATTCGCATCATGTGATACAATAAGCTGTGTTGTGTCTGTCTGTCTATTAGCATCCTAAGTTATATGTTTCAGTAGTATTGTGTCTGCTATCATCCTACGATACAAATCTACTTTGTGTCTGTCTGTCCATCTTGTCTGTTTCCATCTTCAATACAGATGCACCATCAGACTTGATCTATATTCTTGTCCCCGATGGTCAAAGGCCAGACCTGATGAAGATACCAAAGAATGCAAACGTGGCAGGGATCGCAAAATACGTGGATCTCATGAAGCTTTGCTGGGACGGTGACCAGCCTAAGAGGCCATCTTTCAGGGGTCAGTCAAGCAACTCGCTGCTTTTCTATATGACGCCCTTGCACTGTGAAAACAAGTAATAGTGGTTCACTAAGCACGGGTTTCATTTAGCTCGAATAAGCACATGTGAAACCGAGCATCGCTGTTGGATGGCGTCGTGCACGTGCAACTTCTGTTCATTGAATGTTGAGAATTTGTACGTACGAGTTGCCTTTAATTCTGAAACTCTGAACATTTGAAAAGCAAATATTCTCAAAATGTTCTCGCGAAAAGGAATTGGCCAGCATATGGAACAGAGGCTTCTTGAAAAATTATTAATATTTCATTCGGCTTTCCTGGAGAAATAAATAATTATTTTTGTACATTATCTTTGATTTTTTGTGTCAAATCACTTGACATATAGCCAAAGTAATACTTTAGACCATTATGCTGTGTTATGTTCTAAGCACACTGTGTTGTTATTTGTCAATTAATAAAGATGACTTGTCTTTTTCCTGCTTTCCATTCGTTTACGATTGCAGAAATTTTAACAAAAACGCAAGTAATTTTGGACATGCACAAGAGTGATTTAGCCTCGGACGTGCTGAAAGTAAGAAACATACTGGTAAGTGAGAATCGATCGTGAATGCATTAGTTGACAAGCAAATAAGCCAATGATCGGTTCTGCTGCCAATCATGCCTTATGAATACAGAACTTTCCTATCCAGTTAAAGGGCCTAACCCTTGCTTTGCGATAACGTACTATCTATATGTACAAGGAAACTTAAAAAAATACACCGATTTTGCGGATGCTATTCGCCAATCCTATAATCCACGACAACCCACAAGAAAATGGGAAAAGATTTTTTGTGGATATTTGTGCCAAAACTCACATTTTAGATTTTAACACCTGCAGAATTTAGGAGTTGCTACAGACCACAGACTTGTCGTGAATCTTGGGATTTGTAAAAGTGGAGAGCACAGACGTTTGGACTTTTCACCCTTAATAGCTTATTAAAATGTACTGCCACAACTCACTGCGGTACCTCAAACTTCAAACCCTTATCCTTAAAAGTCATGCACAAGTTCACCAAAACAATGAAAGCCGTCTCGGAGGAACACAACTGGAAAACACATCAGAGTATGTATACCGAGGGCATTTGCTGACAGTGGACTGGAATCGAAATGAAGTAATGAGTAAAATTAGAACAAATTGGGAGTGGTGTTCGAAAAATGTGCTTGACAATGAAAATAAACGTTGCGTTGTGCATTAGAAAGAGTTTTTTCATCGGTGTATGTTGCCTGCTACGAAGTAAGGATTGGACGTGACAATTGACGAAGAAAAATTGAACAAGAGCTGAGATTTTTTTTATTTATTTAAAGCTTTCGTGACTGCAGGGATTCATATTCTTTGTTCTTTCGGTAAAGTCACGTAGAGGGGAAACAATAAAATAATAAAAATATAAAGCAATAAAATTCTCACGACGTTTCGACTGCAACACAAGCATTCATCATCAGGTGTGAAAACCACAGCAAGAAAATTTGGAAAAAAAAACGCCACTTTTTTCATCTTGGGATCGTGAGGGGTGAGTTTGGAAGAGCTTCATCCAGCAGTGGACAGCTCATGTCTGTTGATCAAAGACAGCCGCTTAATGAAGGATAAAATGTGGCCATGACCATTGGAACAATTCTAATTATCTCAACAATAGTAGTTTGGGTGACTGTTTAAATGCTGACTGTTACTTTTACAACTTGATGTTATGCCAAAGTATTTCTGTTTCCATAATTTATAATAATGTATTCATGAAGAGGAAAGATGACATTTTCTTGTTTAGCAATTGGAGGCTTTTTTTTCCAAATGCAAAGCAAATAAAATATTAACGTGGTTTAAACTTTAATACAATAATTACAATTATTAAATAAATAAGATTAAATTAATTTATGCATTTATTCCTTTATTTCATAATCTGTTGAATTAAATCCTAAACTGATTATTACTACTTGAATTCGTGTAGTTAATTTCTCGTTGTGTGTAAAGCACAATTCTAATTTGGTATTATAGATTGTTTTTTAAAGGTAAAAGTGCAGCCCTGCAACGTCTTCTTCCACGCGTTTGTCTCACTCATGGTGGGGTCCGCTGTCCTTGCCATCATTCTCCATGCTGCCCTGTCCTGCGTCATCTCCCTATCCGCTCCTCGTGCCACCATGGTCCGATTGCACCACATCGCCCCACCTCTTCTGCCTTCCTCTTTCCTTCCACTTGCATCACTTGCAACTTCTGACCCACATTTTCCTGCCGTCTCTCAACGTGACCGAACCACACCAGCCTTTTCTCTCTCATCTTCTCTGTGATTTCTACCACGTTGAGTCTTCCTCTGACTTCTTAATTTCTCACCCTGTCCTTGTTAATACCAACATCCACCTCATATCTACTGTCACTGGCATAGCTTAGTCCTCCCTCTTTCTTGTGTCCCAGCACTCGGCCCCATACAACAGCGCCGGCCTCACCACCGTCTTGTACACTTTTCCCTTCAACCACACTGGGGACCCTCTTATCGCACACCACACCCGGTCATCTCTCGCCATTTCAGCCGTCCATCCCTTGTTCTTGTTGTCGGCTCTCCTAGTGATCCATCAGCACCACATCGTTGCGCCCAGGTACTTAAACGCTTGCTCGCAACACTTCAGGTAAAAAGAAAGGCGTCCATTAAAGGCATCTCTCGAAAGTCCCTCTAGAGCAGGGGTCCCCAACCCCCAGACCGCGGACCGGTAGCGGTCCGCGGCCTGTTAGTATCCGGGCCGCACAGCAGGAGGTGAGCGGTGAGTCCGCGCGTGGGCCGCCCCCATTATTTAATTTACCACTTCCGTCCGCGCCTCTTTCCCGCACTTCGCACTTGTCTCAGTCACAGTGTTGGTAAGTCCACAAGCTAACCCCTAGTAGCCACAATGAGTAAAAAAACAAACGTTGCTGGAGAGCTTCTTTGAAAAAGGGGAAAGACCCAATGACGAACCCCCCCCCCCCCCGCTGCTCTAGAGGGAATTTTGGCTTCCTCTTCCACACTTATAGGTGGTGGGAGTACATACACTTTATCCCACCACATGGCAAATTCGCTGATTTGTATTGTATCAAAATAGATAATCAGACAATGACTCCTTCACATGTCCATTTCTCGACAGTTTTTATTTTATTTTAATACACAGCCCATTGGCGCCATGGCCTTTTGGGAGTGCATCCTTTCAGCAGCATTGATTCAGTACAAGCAAACTCTGGACCGGTTGTCACCGTATTGCAGGCATTTGCTAATGTATTCTATTTCCTGTCGCCATTACCGTTGCAGGAAAGAATGGTGTCGGGTGACCCGATCAGTGGGGATTTGCCCCCTCGGCCTGCGTTGGGGCCACAGGGCTACAGCCCAGTGGGCCAGGACCTCCCGCTCACCCTCAGAGATTGTAGCAGTGGGAGGGAGGAGTTGGACTCTGGGAGGCACTCAAGAGAGGAGGCCTCACCGCAGGTCTCCGACACATTGCAGTCTTCCCCATCGTTGTGCATATCTGAGGAGGAAACAATGTTGGCTGTGGGGCGCTCGCAAATCAGAGACATCGGAGTGCCACAGGGTAAGTAATCTTCTGTGACGGTGATCATTTTCGAAAAAAAAATGTGATTAATTTTTATCACCAATTTCGAGTGAATGATGTACTCCCTTTATTACTGACCCGGGCAGCCTCCATTGTCAAAGTACTTTGTACCAAACCAGTTTTTTGTGGATTTGATGGTTTCATTCCATTTAAGGAACCAGAAATTTATGTCAGGAGTTAGCAGAGTGCACTTGTAGTTATAATTGCGTGTAGTCACTTTAAGATGTTGCTTGTTCATGGTTTTGTTGAGGTTGCACCCGAGTCAAAAGCCGCATGGCTCACAGGGTTATACCTAATAAATGAAACTGAAAACTGAAAGTGATAAATCCCAAATTTTTAAATTAGTCAGTGACAGAAACCTAGAATTTATATTTATAATCATTGCGATTGCAACATACATATTCAAATTGGTGAATGTCTTAAAAAGAATATAACAAATTAACAACTAATAAATGTTGACTTGAAGCTTTCGTGACTGCAGGAATTCATTCTTTGGGTCTTTTGGTAAAGTCACGTAGATAGGCTCAAAGAAAAGAACAAAAATAACAAAAAACTACTGTTATTTGTTAACTACTGTTAACTACTGTTAATAAAAATAACGAAAAACTACTGTTATTTTTGTTATTTTCTTTGAACCTATCTACGTGACTTACCTGAAAGACCTAAAGAAAATTAACATCTCTCTCGTGTGCTTTCGGGTTGTACCACGTGCTGTTCAGCATGACGTCCAACGTTCCGATGCTGGTGCTGGGAGCTTTCTTCAGGAACTAAATAGGGCAGCTCGCATTCTCCCTCGATCATAGAGGTGTTGGCTACTGCTGGCGTTTAATGTAGGCCAGCCAATGTTATTTATTTGCTTCATCACCTTCACACGGCCCGATCATGTTAAGTGAGAAATCACGACTAATGCCATCATCAACCCTGCCATTAAACATCGATCAAAAGGCCTTCCCAGTCTCCAGAGCAACAAGTCAATCACGTGCGTACGTGGTAGAGAGGGGAGAAGGCTCACCCCAGTGGATAACAGGGTGTGATAGCATTCTGTAAAAAAACAGTCTGCTAAGCAGACACGTTGCTAACCCACTAACCCTACTTCCATATATATGTCTGTTTTTTTGTTTTTATATGAGCTTGTGTGCGAGAGTCTGGAAAGGCACTTAAATATTCACACGTATACATATACTCGCATACAGTCTACAAAGACATACAAATAAAGACACAAGCATAACAACAGCCAAACTCGTATGTATAGAAATGAAAATACACACACAGCCACACTCATATTGCCTTAAAAAGATCCCCCATATAGCCTTAAAAGACTGTTGGGGCAAGTGCTGTTAGCAAGCACCTTATGAAGGCCAGCACGACACACGAGGGGGTGGGTGGCCAACACCACTCCCGGCCGCCTTTGTCTCCCAAGTGGTGATATTTACACCACACGAGGTACTCGTTTAAGGCTAAGTCGACCGAGGTGTTGGCCGTGAGCAGGAATCGAACTTGGGTGGACTGGTTAATAGCACAGCATGCTAACCACTGCACTACCACTCCCCACAGGCACGTAGATGCATGCAGACACTCGTACATACACACAAAGACACATCTATGGAAGTACAGCAAATGGGTTCCTAACGTGTCTGTTTAGCAGACTTTCTTTACAAATGCAATGGTTAGCTTTTTATGGTTTTAAAAATGTACTCATGAAAGTGGCTCAGTACCAGTTCAGACATCAAAATGAACGTCCACTTACGGTAAGCCATTGCCAGGAATCAAACGTAAGTCGCCGGGTTCATATTACAGTACTCTAGCCACCATTTAAAACATAATGGCTGTTGGAATTGAGACTAATGTCTAAACACGTACAGTGAGGGAAAAAAGTATTTGATCCCCTGCTGATTTTGTACGTTTGCCCACTGACAAAGATATGATCAGTCTATAATTTTAATGGTAGGTTTATTTGAACAGTGAGAGACAGAATAACAACAAAAAAATCCAGAAAAACGCATGTCAAAAATGTTATAAATTGATTTGCATTTTAATGAGGGAAATAAGTATTTGACCCCTCTGCAAAACATGACTAAGTACTTGGTGGCAAAACCCTTGTTGGCAATCAGAGAGGTCAGACGTTTCTTGTAGTTGGCCACCAGGTTTGCACACATCTCAGGAGGGATATTGTCCCACTCCTCTTTGCAGATCTTCTCCAAGTCATTAAGGTTTCGAGGTTGACGTTTGGCAACTCGAACCTTCAGCTCTCCCCACAGATTTTCTATGGGATTAAGGTCTGGAGACTGGCTAGGCCACTCCAGGACCTTAATGTGCTTCTTCTTGAGCCACTCCTTTGTTGCCTTGGCTGTGTGTTTTGGGTCATTGTCATGCTGGATTACCCATTTTCAATGCCCTGACTGAGGGAAGGAGGTTCTCACCCAATATTTGACGGTACATGGCCCCGTCCATCGTCCCTTTGATGCAGTGAAGTTGTCCTGTCCCCTTATCAGAAAAAAACCCCAAAGCATAATGTTTCCACCTCCATGTTTGACGGTGGGGATGGTGTTCTTGGGGTCATAGGCAGCATTCCTCCTCCTCCAAACACGGCGAGTTGAGTTGATGCCAAAGAGCTCCATTTTGGTCTCATCTGACCACAACACTTTCACCCAGTTGTCCTCTGAATCATTCAGATGTTCATTGGCAAACTTCAGACGGGCATGTATATGTGCTTTCTTGAGCAGGGGGACCTTGCGGGCGCTGCAGGATTTCAGTCTTTCACGGCGTAGTGTGTTTCCAATTGTATTCTTGGTGTCTATGGTCCCAGCTGCCTTGAGATCATTGACAAGATCCTCCCGTGTAGTTCTGGGCTGATTCCTCACCGTTCTCATGATCATTGCAACTCGACGAGGTGAGGTCTTGCATGGAACCCTAGGCCGAGGGATATTGACAGTTCTTTTGTGTTTCTTCCATTTGCGAATAATTGCACCAACTGTTGTCACCTTCTCACCAAGCTGCTTGGCAATGGTCTTGTAGCCCATTCCAGCCTTGTGTAGGTCTACAATCTTGTCCCTGACATCCTTGGAGAGCTCTTTGGTCTTGGCCATGGTGGAGAGTTTGGAATCTGATTGATTGCTTCTGTGGACAGGTGTCTTTTATACAGGTAACAAGCTGAGATTAGGAGCACTCCCTTTAAGAGTGTGCTCCTAATCTCAGCTCATTACCTGTATAAAAGACACCTGGGAGCCAGAAATCTTTCTGATTGAGAGGGGGTCAAATACTTAGTTCCGTCACTAAAATGCCAATCAATTTTTAACATTTTTGACATGCGTTTTTCTGGATTTTTTTGTTGTTATTCTGTCTCTCACTGTTCAAATAAACCTAACATTAAAATTATAGACTGATCATTTCTTTGTCAGTGGGCAAACGTACAAAATCAGTAGGGGATCAAATACTTTTTTTCCCTCACTGTATGGAGAGCTCACCAGGATGATGCTTCTCCACTTGTATGGAGATGAAAATATGGTTGGAGAAAAGTAATTTTGGTGATATTTATGCTCACCCATTATTGTTGAGACGTTAACTCTTAACCACCGCCACCACTGTGCCATTGTCCCCACCACATCCAGCGGTGATACAATTATTGGCAAACTGCGCTACGAACCTGGGGACCTGAGTTAATTTACCAGCCATGGCTTACATCAGTGGCACTTGATAATCGCACAGGTACTGGCTTCTGCATTCACCAACCCGCACCGACCAGCGTAGTGAAATATGGTCAATAACCTCCATGACTGACTTGGCATGGGCAGGCCTTCATCCAACAGGGGATTGACAAAGAGCAGTACACAAACATATTTGGATATTTTTGATTATTTCGGTAAAGTCACGTAGATAGAAAATACAAATAATTTTTTTAAAAAATAAATTGAAAATAATAAAAGCAAAAAAAATGAGTTTCTTATTTTTGTATTTTCTATCTACTTGACTTTACCGAAAGAACCAAGAATATGAATTCCTGCAGTCACGAAAGTTTTGAGTCATATTTGGATATCCAGGTCTACCTTACAATCGGGATAATTTAAATTGTTCCTTGCCTGCCTCAATAAAAGGGCATGTTCAATAAAAAAGTTTAGAATAAAAATAATAATAAAACGTTCCATCAAAATGCAGTCTTCGAACATTTGTTTCCAGAATCCAACTTTCAATCAACAGGAGAAACAGGTGGCCTATTATTTTTTTTATGCGTGTGGCTGCGAGTTGACAGCACAGCGCTAATCAGAATTTGGTTAATTGGGATATAATTAATTAGGGCGTGCATTTTACTTCATGTAATCCACTGCACATTTAGCAGGGTAGTAGGACTCGTACAACTCGCATTCCTTGTCTGGTTTCTTTAAAGAAAATTAGCATTGCAGCGTTTAATGCTTTGGGAATAAAACATCAGCTGCTTAACAAATCACAAATATTTTAATACAAGTCGTGGGGCATTGCTGTCAGAGGCATAACATTCGTATTGAGTATTATAATGGACGTGAAAAAGCAGTCATTTTCATATTATTTCTGTAACACCGTGATTTTTAATCGGCCCATAATGTTAAATAACAGTGTCGTGAAATAATGGAGCTAAAAATTAAATGCCTTGACTGCGAGTGCTGCAAATGGTAGTACCTTTTTACCGTAAATGAACCTTATGGCGGGACCCCGGGGTCCCGAATAAACGGAAGTCAAAATCGTAATTAGTTAATTTATTTTTGGCGACTCCGTCCCACCGCGCACATAAACGCCTCGACCCACCAGAAATCAATCCTCTCCTCGTTCTTCACCGAGCACCCGTCGTTGCCAAAATTGCCGTAGATGTAAACAAAACTTTTAAACTTTGATTAGCGCACCGTGTTGAGCTCGTCGAGAGGAAGAGATCGCCGTATCGTTCGCCTTCAACAAACATAAAATGACGTCGCAACGCAGTTTATGCGAGAGCCGGGGGCTTATGGTACCCCGGGGTTTCGCCATAAGGTTCACATGATGACGGGGAAGAGTACCTTTGTCAATCCTTCCATTACTTAAACATTTTATTATAATCCAGAGCACAAGCATAGCAATATCAAAATTCAAATATTCATGGAATTATTATTAACGGCTTAATTAACTTTCACCATGAATGTGTTATATATTAAAAAAACAGCCCATGGGTATTAAACAGATGCATGCGTCACAATTTGAAATTTTACATTCGGTTCTCTGCTCTTGAGTCTTTGCACTTGTTTCTAACCAATTTTCTAATAACATCTTTTGCTCAATCTAAAAATGGTTTCTGACATTCTCGATTTATATTTTCATAGGATCATTTTTGTTTTGGGGGGCCTGGAGTGGCTCTTGGTCCAGGGTGATGTTAATAGATTGAGGGTGAAAGGAAATTCACTTCCAGGTCACCGATATGAGCAACATCTGCTTACGGGTTCATATGCCATATTTTCGCTATCAAGTGCATTTACGATAAATGAAGGCGCTAATGAAGGAAAAGTTGCGTCCAGGAAAAGAGGCATTAGGTTGGCAGATTTTACAATGCGAGATTGTTTACCAGCAGGTGGCGATAGCATGACATGCGAAGCCTCTTCACATTTGATTTCAAATGCTGATGGTGGCGGTGCTGATTGTGACCTTATCAGGAAGAGGGTGGGGGGAAAACTCCACAAATCAACAGAATACATTACAAATCGAATTGTTAAAGCATCTAAAGGCTGTGACATATCAAAATGCTGTACAAAAAATCTACACTTTTTTATCCTGGGGAAATGTGATTTTGTTTATCCTCAAACGTTTCTCATTTTCCCAGAGTTTTATCGCATTTGTTCCGTCGGCATCATGTGTTTGAGACGAAGTGTCTGCTTGAAGCTCTCGCAGAGCAGTGCCACCCTTCATGTTTGAGGGCAGTGCGTGGAAGCACATATAATAGCGCTGCCTCTTGAAATAATTTCAAGTAACCTGGTGTGAGGTGGAAATTTGTTTAAATAATGTATTTATTAAGGGGCAAAGTTAGGAATATCAGGAATGCCGGCAATATAATTGTAGTGCTGATCAAGACATTCGTACAGATGGAAATTGCCAGGCATCAGCAGAGCACAATCCTGGACTTGAGGGGGGGGATGGAGTCGGCAGTCAGAATGGCCCAAGGGAGTTCCAGACTGTAGGGGCAGCAGAGGAAGCTGAGCCACCACCCATTGCATGGTGGTTGACTGAGGCCTTTCACAGGAAGCCGTGGTTGCTGGAGCAGGGAAAGCATCTGGCAGAGAGCAGGGCGAGTTAGAGAGAGAGAGAGAGGTAGGCAGAGGTGAATCTGCAGTTAAATCATGTGCAAGGCTGTTGATGGATTACAATATTGGGTAAAAACTGTTGTGATAACAACGCACGACAAATGTTAGTATTTTGACATATCCTCTCAGGGTCTGATTGCTGTGTCTGTAAGGGCTCTAAACACTTGCTCCCACACAACATGTTATACACAGCTTTGGTTGTCCTGCTTCGTGGGATCGCCACCTCTGTCAACTTCCAGCCACACCAAAAACCTGCCAGCCCTAATTAGTGCGCTGCTCTTTCGGGAGCCCTCGCAACTACACAAACAAATGTAACACCGCTGCCCTCGCTCTCAGGGGGCAGAGGTGCAAGACATTTACCGCAAGAGAGTTCTATTAAAAAGCGGTGGTGAAAACATGGCCCCGTCTGCCCTCTCTCCTTTCCATATTCGTCATTTTGAGCCCTTCCTCTAGACCAGGTCACATACCCTCTCCTATCGTCTTTACGAGCCTCCTCGCTTTTCCTCGTTCGCCCTCTTCCCACGGCGTGTCTGCGCGCCTCTTTGTGAACAAAAGCCACCGTCTGTCTGCCTTCACGCTCGCGTAGAGGTTGTGGAGGTTGTTTAAGAGACCTTGAAAATACCATGGGAAGAATAATGTCTCACAGTATCTGAAGAGGAAATAACCACACGTCAATGCATTGTCCCCGAGCGGTGTATTATTATGCATTTGACAGAAACTGGAAGGACTTACTAATTTACTAATTTCCCAGGACAGTTGTTCACAGAGAACATCCTGGAATAACCAGAACAGGTGGCAACCCTACCTAGAGGTGACTCTGCGTGGTCTGTTTGAGGGCTGGTGGCCCCTCTCAGGTCAGCTTCACTTGAAATGAACAGCCGGCGATGACTTCTCCCAAGTTTATTCAATTTCCTTAAAGTTCCGAGGCCTTAGGGAACACATTACAGAGGGCTCTTGAGGTCAAACTATGGCAGCATGGTTGTGAACAGAAGCCGAGAAGGGAGGTGGAAGACAAACTCTCAGACAAGTGGTTATCTTATCCTTCGCTTGAACAACTCGGTCGGTTGCATGTGGCCAAGTTTATAGAGCTATGAAACAAGCTAACGTGCATGTACTCTGTCATTAGAGACGTTGGTGGCTTGGGGGGGGGGGTCGTTATCCAGCAGTGGATTGGCAATTGCTGCTGTTGCTTCTGCTGATGATGAGTCGGTTTACTTTTTAAATTCGCAAGCGATCACCGGATCCATGGTGTACCCTGTGTTGACTGCTGTATGATAATGCGTTGGTTAAATTTTTGTTTGTGTGTATATAAACCTCTGCAGCGGAAACAAGAGGAAACAACGAGACTCACGTCGAGGCACCATTTCAGCAGATGAGAGTGGGAGAGAGCTTTGCTCGACCGGAAACGCAGGTATGGAATATCGTGCAAGTGTCTGTTACTTTTGAAATGTTCAACACATTCCACGCAAAATGGCCATTTATTTTACCAACATAGGCTTGAGTTGACTGGACGGCGCAGAGATCGGGGCACTGAACTAGGGCTGTTGAGGTCTTGGGTTCTAATCCGGGCGTCTATCTGTGATCAAAGCAGGTTCTCGTGTATAGAAAGGTTTGTAGACTCAGCCCTGCCACCAATGTGTGCTCAAACAATTCCCAACACATTAACTTAAAATGTGCGTTAAATGTGCCGAGGTTCCAGCTCTTAAGAATTACAGATGGTATTGTTAATTAAACTTTTTATTTTAACTGGATAATCCCTTTAACTGGAACATCTCATTTGAAAAAGGTATCCAGGGTGCCAAGTAAGCACGTAGCAAAACACGTAATAGCAAGAATGCAAACTATTTAATATCAATAAATTGTACAGTACGCATTTACACAATAAACATCACGCAGCAGTCAAATAAAATAAATGTGATGTGCACACAATGCCAGTTCAGTAGAGAATATTCTCTAGCTATAACAGGCCTCTGTCGGTATTCTGCCAGTTTGTGTTCGGTTAAAGATTTAAAATGAGCTGAGACAGGCAGCACACACTTTTTAGTGCGTCTGGGAGATTTGTTCGATATTCAAGGCATTTTTTTGGGACTGTAATGCGACACACACACACAGTCTCATAGCAGAGTGTCTGGCAAACTGGGCCCTGCTAACTTTGTGGTATCTATACTGGAGGGGTTTTTTTTTGGGTTAGATCGCAGTAAATATGAATGCGTCGTTGAGCCTGCCACCACCCGACACAGACAATTAGAAAGGTTTGTCACGTAAAAAAAAAAATGCCAATTCATTGCTAGTTCGTCAGCGCACCGGTGTGTTGGAGAATAAAACCACAATGTTGTGGGTTTACTTCTAAATGGTGTGGGTTTACACGCCACAATGGTGTGGGTTTACTTGTAAATGGTGTGGGTTAACTCTCCAGCACACCGATGTGCTGAACTAGTAACTAATTGGCAAGTTTTGTTTACATGACAAACCTTACTAATTGGCTGTGTCGGGTGGTGGCAGGTTTTAACGACGCATTAATATTTACGGGATCTAACCTAAAAGCCTCGGTTATGGGTAATATTGGTCGCGAAAGCATATACTACGTGTTAATCTACTTTGTGGAAATAAATGGGTTTTTTCTAAAGTCCTGTGAAAAAAAACGTTTTCTGCAGCAGTCCTGACACAAAAGCACACACCCCACTCTGAGCTTTTTCCAGTGAAATTCGTTATCTCTTGAAGTGTGATGGTGAGAGTCCAGTTGGGATAAATATAGAGATTCATCAAAAAGTAAAAAGAAAAATTCTTGCAGGATCACGAGGGATGTAGCGATTCACACCGGCCCTGAATTGGTGAATTGTCACAAATTGTGATCACTCTTTGGTAAAAAAAAGTGTTTGTTTGTCTTTGCAGCATAAATGGATAGTGTATTGTTTTTAAGGTGAGCATAGCTGCTGATGTTAGGTAGACATCTTAATTTTATGAAGTGAAAACCAGCTGAGGCAATCGGTGCCTTTCCCTCTTTGAACTCGTGATCGTTTTCGTGATTTGCGTAGTGTTAAGGTAATATCCATCCAGTCGTCGACTCGCCATCTACTAAACTGGCCTCTTTGCTCCTTGTTTAAAAAAAAGTGTGTACCGTGACCAACATTTCAGTGAAAAACAACAAGAAAAAAATGGATTTATCGAGGCCGCAATATTGAAGTTGTAAAATACAGATTGAACTTTAAATATCGAAAGTTAGCAAATGCATGGAAATGTGTGTGCGTTGCGGTTGGGAAGGGGAAATAATTAGATGTGCTAAATGGTCAATTCAGGGAGGCAATTAAATGGCCAATGAAATTTTTGTTAGAGTTTTAGACAACTCATTGTAATGCGCTTGAGCCCCATTACGCGTGCGCTCTTAATAATTTGTTTGCGGGTAGGTTAGAGTACTTTACATCCTGCATACACATAAAGCCTTTTTAAAGTTTTACTTTTAGTGTTAAACTGCTCAGTGAGTTAATAACATAATTTGACCCATTCCTGACCAATACTCTTATTTTCCCACTGTTACGCACGTGTGTATATGTCTCTTAGCGTAAATGAAAAGTATTCTTTTTGTTTTGCTTTGCTTTGTTAAACAGGGAGTCTTTCCCAGGCACCAGGAAGGACGTATTCCAATGTATTCGGGAGCCGTTCCAGTGGAGCCCCAAGGTAACCGCATATTTTTTTGTATCCTTTAATCTCATTCCCTCAATGGGTTGTTATTGGGGTTTTTTTTTCCTTCTTGATTCATGTACTCATCAGTAAATCCAACCGCCCGTCGACTAAACTGTCCTTTCATTCATTTATGCTATTTGTTTCATTATGCAAAAATCAATCGAGCCCATCTCGCATTGCCGAGCCACCCGCTTTTTTTTTTGTTAACCTGCTTCCTGGAAGCCACGCGAAGTCTGCCAACCACTCGCTACGCTCAAGATAATGCGCCAACCATCGCAAAATCCCAGTTTTCATTAATTTCCAATTCAAATCTGATTTTGTAAAACAACCCTGTTAACGTGTGTGTCGCGAAGGAGTCGCGTCCATTTGGCCCGACCGTTGCTTCTGCCGGGCCTTGACATTTTCTGGAGCTTGTTGGGGAGGGGGGGGAGGTGTTGGTCGTGAATATTTTTTTTAGCAAACACTTGCAATGCCGCATTGGGCCATGGTAGTGTTCTGTCCCTGCAAGGCTTCGTTATTTCCAGGGCCGCCCCTTGCCACCTTCACACGGGAGACGACGTAATTTCTCGGGAGTAAGCGGCAGGATGTAGCGCTACCGGTGGATGGTTTTTATTGTCATCTACGTTGACTGTGCATCCTGGCTCCGAGGAGTTCCATGTTTTAGTTTCTCGAGGTATTGAAATGGTTCGTGTGTGAAGAAGTCTTAGCAGGCGGGGACGACAGTGTTCTCATGAAGGTGGGATTCAGGCGGAGTTAAATACCATTTGTTCTCTTTTAAAATGTTAAATTTCGCTTTTTAACTTGGCCCCTTAAAAACGTGAATAGAATCCCAATCTTATTGCATCCGAAGGGCAACACAACCATCGACCATTGTTCTTATTACACAGTACTTTAACACGAGTAATTAAATATCAGTATAGTGAGAAGGTTATTGTTCATTAAAGAGGCAAGCTTACACCATCATGGAGACGGCACCATTGCCGCCCCCCCCCCCCCTCCGTAAACCTTCGCCGCCGCCAGCCGTCGTGGCTATCTCCCCCCCCCACCCCCCGCACATCCCTACCTGCTTCTGGCGATCGTTCGCAAAAAACAAAAATAAAGGGACGGAAACGACGGAGCAGCTCGGCGGTGGGCGCCCACTGTGCGCTGATGGACTTGCGTGTGTGCGCGCGTGTGTGCGTGTGTGCGTGCGTGTGTGCATGCGTGTGTGTGCGTGTGTGTGCGTGTGTGTGTGCGTGTGTGCGTGTGTGCGTGCGTGCGTGTGTGCGTGCGTGCGCGTGTGTGCACAGGGCCGGCGGCAGGGTCGGCGGGAAACCCATTCAACCCCTCCGCTCAACCCTATAACCGTCGGCACACGCACCCACACGTGAGTTCACTGCACACCATCGGCACACTCCCAAATGTCACCACGTAAATTGTTTAATCAGGATCCAGCGGCATCTTATTTTGCCGCTGTGAAAGAACATGAAAACAATACGTTTTTTGCTCGGGAAACTTGATATTTATTCAGGGTGTTTGTACTATATTACAAAAAATAACACTACAGATATGTGTATGCAATGCGATATTGCTACCTTGGCATCAATGATTGATCTAATTTAGTAACCTATGTATTTTATACATTGCTATAATCGATGGTGGAACAATCCAGCAGCTCTTTTTGCGGCTCACATTGTTGTGTTGGCAGTAGAATCAATGTCATTGCTGTTGTCATGTATTTAATATGGCACAATATAGACAATTCAGAGTGGAATAATGGCATCGATGTGGTCGTACATTTTACTATCATCATCTTCACGATCGTTGTTAAGATCTACTGAACCTGATTGTTCGCAAATCACAAATAGTGTCTTCCGTGAAATCAGCAGCACTTGGGGTTGGCTTGGAATTTTCTCAAATGCTGTACTGCTGCAGAATCACAATTTCACACAATCATTTAGGCACGTGCCTAAATGTAGGATCCTGCCAATGGTGTAATGTTCCAGCACTGGGCTTGCAATTCAGAGGTCACCCGGTTTGATTCGATCTCATGGGATGGGACAGCAGTGGAGACAATGGGGGCAGATTTATTAAATACCCCCTCCCCCACCTCTGTCCACTCAGCACTGCAGGTACTCCCACTTATGCCCAGACGTCTGAGAGAGCTCCCCTCCACGCCAGCAGTGAGCTCTCTAAGAGAACTCCCCTTCACGCCAGCAGTGTGCTCTCTGAGAGAGCTCCCCTTCCCACCAGCAGTGTGCTCTCTGAGAGAACTCCCCTTCCCACCAGCAGTGTGCTCTCTGAGAGAACTCCCCTTCACGCCAGCAGTGTGCTCTCTAAGAGAGCTCCCCTTCACGCCAGTAGTGTGCTCTCTGAGAGAGCTCCCCTTCACGCCAGCAGTGTGCTCTCTGAGAGAGCTCCCCTTCCCCACAGCAGTGTGCTCTCTGAGAGAGCTCCCCTTCACGCCGGCAGTGTGCTCTCTGAGAGAGCTCCCCTTCCCCACAGCAGTGTGCTCTCTGAGAGAGCTCCCCTTCCCCACAGCAGTGTGCTCTCTGAGAGAGCTCCCCTTCCCCACAGCAGTGTGCTCTCTGAGAGAGCTCCCCTTCACGCCGGCAGTGTGCTCTCTGAGAGAGCTCCCCTTCCTGCCAGGAGTGTGCTCTCTGAGAGAACTCCCCTTCCCCACAGCAGTGTGCTCTCTGAGAGAGCTCCCCTTCCCCACAGCAGTGTGCTCTCTGAGAGAACTCCCCTTCCCACCAGCAGTGTGCTGTCTGAGAGAACTCCCCTTACCCACAGCAGTGAGCTCTCTGAGAGAGCTCCCCTTCACGCCGGCAGTGTGCTCTCTGAGAGAGCTCCCCTTCCTGCCAGGAGTGTGCTCTCTGAGAGAACTCCCCTTCCCACCAGCAGTGTGCTGTCTGAGAGAACTCCCCTTCCCCACAGCAGTGAGCTCCCTGAGAGAGCTCCCCTTCCCACCAGCAGTGTGCTCTCTGAGAGAACTCCCCTTCACGCCGGCAGTGTGCTCTCTGAGAGAGCTCCCCTTCACGCCAGTAGTGTGCTCTCTGAGAGAGCTCCCCTTCACGCCAGCAGTGTGCTCTCTGAGAGAGCTCCCCTTCCCCACAGCAGTGTGCTCTCTGAGAGAGCTCCCCTTCCCCACAGCAGTGTGCTCTCTGAGAGAGCTCCCCTTCACGCCGGCAGTGTGCTCTCTGAGAGAGCTCCCCTTCCCCACAGCAGTGTGCTCTCTGAGAGAGCTCCCCTTCCCCACAGCAGTGTGCTCTCTGAGAGAGCTCCCCTTCCCCACAGCAGTGTGCTCTCTGAGAGAGCTCCCCTTCACGCCGGCAGTGTGCTCTCTGAGAGAGCTCCCCTTCCCCACAGCAGTGTGCTCTCTGAGAGAGCTCCCCTTCCCCACAGCAGTGTGCTCTCTGAGAGAGCTCCCCTTCACGCCAGCAGTGTGCTCTCTGAGAGAGCTCCCCTTCCCCACAGCAGTGTGCTCTCTGAGAGAGCTCCCCTTCCCCACAGCAGTGTGCTCTCTGAGAGAGCTCCCCTTCACGCCAGCAGTGTGCTCTCTGAGAGAGCTCCCCTTCATGCCAGCAGTGTGCTCTCTGAGAGAGCTCCCCTTCCCCACAGCAGTGTGCTCTCTGAGAGAGCTCCCCTTCCCCACAGCAGTGTGCTCTCTGAGAGAGCTCCCCTTCACGCCAGCAGTGTGCTCTCTGAGAGAGCTCCCCTTCATGCCAGCAGTGTGCTCTCTGAGAGAGCTCCCCTTCCCCACAGCAGTGTGCTCTCTGAGAGAGCTCCCCTTCCCCCCAGCAGTGTGCTCTCTGAGAGAGCTCCCCTTCACGCCAGCAGTGTGCTCTCTGAGAGAGCTCCCCTTCATGCCAGCAGTGTGCTCTCTGAGAGAGCTCCCCTTCCCCACAGCAGTGTGCTCTCTGAGAGAGCTCCCCTTCCCACCAGCAGTGTGCTCTCTGAGAGAGCTCCCCTTCCCCACAGCAGTGTGCTCTCTGAGAGAGCTCCCCTTCACGCCGGCAGTGTGCTCTCTGAGAGAGCTCCCCTTCACGCCGGCAGTGTGCTCTCTGAGAGAGCTCCCCTTCACGCCAGCAGTGTGCTCTCTGAGAGAGCTCCCCTTCCCCACAGCAGTGTGCTCTCTGAGAGAGCTCCCCTTCCCCACAGCAGTGTGCTCTCTGAGAGAGCTCCCCTTCACGCCAGCAGTGTGCTCTCTGAGAGAGCTCCCCTTCCCACCAGCAGTGAGCTCTCTGAGAGAGCTCCCCTTCATGCCAGCAGTGTGCTCTCTGAGAGAGCTCCCCTTCCCCACAGCAGTGTGCTCTCTGAGAGAGCTCCCCTTCCCCACAGCAGTGTGCTCTCTGAGAGAGCTCCCCTTCATGCCAGCAGTGTGCTCTCTGAGAGAGCTCCCCTTCCCCACCAGCAGTGTGCTCTCTGAGAGAGCTCCCCTTCATGCCAGCAGTGTGCTCTCTGAGAGAGCTCCCCTTCCCCACAGCAGTGTGCTCTCTGAGAGAGCTCCCCTTCCCCACAGCAGTGTGCTCTCTGAGAGAGCTCCCCTTCCCCACAGCAGTGTGCTCTCTGAGAGTTCCCCTTCCCCACAGCAGTGTGCTCTCTGAGAGAGCTCCCCTTCCCCACAGCAGTGTGCTCTCTGAGAGAGCTCCCCTTCCCCACAGCAGTGTGCTCTCTGAGAGAGCTCCCCTTCCCCACAGCAGTGTGCTCTCGGAGAGAGCTCCCCTTCCCCACAGCAGTGTGCTCTCTGAGAGAGCTCCCCTTCCCCACAGCAGTGTGCTCTCTGAGAGAGCTCCCCTTCCCCACAGCAGTGTGCTCTCTGAGAGAGCTCCCCTTCCCCACAGCAGTGTGCTCTCTGAGAGAGCTCCCCTTCCCACCAGCAATGTGCTCTCTGAGAGAGCTCCCCTTCACGCCAGCAGTGTGCTCTCTGAGAGAGCTCCCCTTCCCACCAGCAGTGTGCTCTCTGAGAGAGCTCCCCTTCCCACCAACAGTGTGCTCTCTGAGAGAGCTCCCCTTCACGCCAGCAGTGTGCTCTCTGAGAGAGCTCCCCTTCCCACCAGCAATGTGCTCTCTGAGAGAGCTCCCCTTCACGCCAGCAGTGTGCTCTCTGAGAGAGCTCCCCTTCCCACCAGCAGTGTGCTCTCTGAGAGAGCTCCCCTTCCCACCAACAGTGTGCTCTCTGAGAGAGCTCCCCTTCACGCCAGCAGTGTGCTCTCTGAGAGAGCTCCCCTTCCCACCAGCAGTGTGCTCTCTGAGAGAGCTCCCCTTCCCACCAGCAGTGAGCTCTCTGAGAGAGCTCCCCTTCACGCCAGCAGTGTGCTCTCTGAGAGAGCTCCCCTTCCCCACAGCAGTGTGCTCTCTGAGAGAGCTCCCCTTCCCCACAGCAGTGTGCTCTCTGAGAGAGCTCCCCATCACGCCAGCAGTGTGCTCTCTGAGAGAGCTCCCCTTCCCCACAGCAGTGTGCTCTCTGAGAGAGCTCCCCTTCCCACCAGCAGTGTGCTCTCTGAGAGAGCTCCCCTTCCCACCAGCAGTGTGCTCTCTGAGAGAGCTCCCCTTCCCACCAGCAGTGTGCTCTCTGAGAGAGCTCCCCTTCCCCACAGCAGTGTGCTCTCTGAGAGAGCTCCCCTTCCCACCAACAGTGTGCTCTCTGAGAGAGCTCCCCTTCCCACCAGCAGTGTGCTCTCTGAGAGAGCTCCCCTTCCCCACAGCAGTGTGCTCTCTGAGAGAGCTCCCCTTCCCCACAGCAGTGTGCTCTCTGAGAGAGCTCCCCTTCCCACCAGCAGTGTGCTCTCTGAGAGAGCTCCCCTTCCCCACAGCAGTGTGCTCTCTGAGAGAGCTCCCCTTCCCCACAGCAGTGTGCTCTCTGAGAGAGCTCCCCTTCCCCACAGCAGTGTGCTCTCTGAGAGAGCTCCCCTTCCCCACCAGCAGTGTGCTCTCTGAGAGAGCTCCCCTTCCCCACAGCAGTGTGCTCTCTGAGAGAGCTCCCCTTCCCCACAGCAGTGTGCTCTCTGAGAGAGCTCCCCTTCCCCACAGCAGTGTGCTCTCTGAGAGAGCTCCCCTTCCCACCAGCAGTGTGCTCGCGATAAATTTCAGGGCTGCACCTTTTGGCTCTTCCCCAAGCCGTAGCAGAGCGCAGTGTCTGTGCCCGTACGATAAAATATGGGTGTCAATTTAATTGGTAATGATAAAGGCGATTTAAAAAATGTGTTTTTACGATTTGTCTATTGCAGCTCATTAAAGATACTAAAGCCTAGTTATGTAAATGCATTATTTAGCGTTGTGTCTGGGGTGTCATTCATGAGGCGTCCTAGTCTCCTGACGGAATGGTAAAATGTTATTTTCAAAAAGCAAACATAATTATCACCTAATTACTGCCTTCATTGTGCATTCAACCAATGAATTAGCTGGAGAAAGTTTGCAGCTCCGAGTGGCAATCCCACTTTGACGGTTGCATTTCATTTGCTTTATTCAGTCGGTGCACCAAGCAACAGGACAATATCAGCACCCCTCGTCAGGTAAAACGATGTCTCTTTTTCAATGAAGCCATGCAACCAACCTTGAACAAGAATATACATTACATTCTGTATGCATTGATACGTCTCGTTCCTCTACTTTAACAAGCTGTTCTTTGCCAGATAACAGAACAGCAGGTCATTATGCATCTAGTAGTGCAGCACGCACCTGGGTCCAGTAAGATAGGGTTCAACTCCACCATCTGTGCCGTGATTGTGAATTAGGAGCAAAATCGCAGCCCAATTCTACTCAGACCGGTTGAGGGCCTGAGTCAAAGGGTGAAAGTTGTTTTGTTAATCAAACCAATAATAAAAATGTTGCTGGTAATCGAAGGGTTTGCCCGTTACTCAGTAGCTACTTTTAGGCAACTACGCCTTAAAAAACATTTTTTTAGAATGTAATTCTCACCGGACCCTGTGGTGTTAAGTGTCATCTCCAATCCTTATCCACTCTGTCTCTCTGGGCTCTCTGTGTGCTACGAAGAAGGGCCATTGCCCGAAGCGTCGCCTGATATTTTCTTATACGGCAGCTTTAATTATTAAAATATATATTACATTATTAGATATCATTAGCAAAATTGTATTCTAACATTATGCTTTTGCTAATGGAGTAAGCAAAACTGTACAAGACACAAAAAATGAGAAGCAATGCAAACGAGTTGACAAAAATGAGACGAAAGTTATTTGATTGCTTCTTTGATCGAATCACAAACCTGAATTCGGACGGTTCTTTTTTTTTACGATACTTTGCCAAGCAAAGACCCAGAGGCCCAAAATGCCACAACTTGTCCAACAACAAACACCACTCTTGTAGTTTTCATTGACAGAGATGTCGTTAACGTTTCACCAATTGAGCACGATTCTAAGAAATGGAAAGAGAGACGGTGGGGAGTGAATTCCGTCATCGAGCAGTGTGGAGAAAGAAGCCGAGTGACCTGCCGTACTCCAGGAAGTAAATCGTTAGATCCTCATTGGTAGCATTGTTGTCCTGGTTCACCTCGGCTGAGCAATTCGGTGAACTCTCGCGATTTGCCATTAGATTTCGATTACAAAGGCGTTGCTGTTTTTTGTCCCGGCTTTATTATTTCTCAATCGTTTTGCCTTGTTTGTTCTGCGTCATCGTTCACTGTTATTAGCCTAAATGTGTCTAACATTAAATTTTGATTTAAAGCTTTCGTGACTGCAGGGATTCATATTCTTGGTTCTTTTGGTAAAGTCACGTAGAAGATGTTCTTTGCAAGCCATCTGGCTACCATGAGAGATTCGTTCATGAGGCTATCCACATATACAAACACAGAGACAATTTCAACCGAGAAGATGGATTCTGGCTTAGCAATCATTGGAAGGATTTGATAAACCATTTCGGGTCTTAATTGATTGTTCACGCTTACGGTGGCTTTCAGACCGCAACCATTATATTCGTCTCCCCCCTCCTCTTTTCAGAACATAAATGGACTCGTCCATCTGAACAAACTGTCAAATCGCTCTCCGTGGTGCTAACGTTAAAAATAACCGCCACTTTTTTCAAATTTTCTTGCTGTAGTTTTCACACCTGATGATGATTGCTTGTGTTGCAGTCGAAACGTCGTGAGAATTTAATAGTTTTATATTTTTTTATTATTTTATTGTTTCCCTTCTACGTGACTTCACCGAAAGAACCAAGAATATGTGTAACACTAGTTTACAATTTTTTTTACATTGGAAATAATTGATAAGAGATCATCAGAATTATATTTTAATTGCTCTTTGTGGACACCCTTATAAACGAGAAGTTTGCAAAGAGTGTTTGAATAAACAAATATGCCTCTACTTGATGCGGGCCTCGCCTAGACCTGCTTGGCGTGAACTTTGCGGTAAACTCGCACTCGCCAAATATTGTTACATCAAAATAAACAAGCGTGTGTGCTCGTGGTGCTTGCTGCTATGGCCTTTTGGTTTCAACCACAGTGATGGAAACACCACGGAGTGTTAATCTTTTCACACAGAGGCGCTATGAAACACGCTCTCTTCCCTCGGTTAGACATCACAGAGCTTAGCATAAACAAGTGACGTACATGTGCGCAGCATTTCGGTTGATCAGGCCCACTTTTGTTTCTGTACAAAATGGCACTTGCTAATGTTCCAAAGTGACAGTTGGCAAATGTCGTAGGTGATTCAATCATCAGTTTTTGAAGTGGATACAAAATCTTCATGGAACAAAAATACACGCGCACAAAAAATCCAAATCTGTTCGTAACTCCGCTTTTTTGTGCTTGTTTGAATATTTGCCTTGAAAGAAGTGTGCATTTACATTTTAACGTCACTAAATTCCGGGTTGGCGTGTACTGCTTAGTGATTGAATGCGTGGTTGACTCAACAAGCCTGTGTAAGCACAATGTGTTCACTTTATCTCCATCCTGGAGTAGATCGGAGAGGCACTGGAGAACCGATGGATGGTCCATCAGGAGCACTGCCAGGTTTTCCCGCCCATCGACCCCACTACCACCCTCCACATGTCCATCTAGTAAGTCCTTAACTCCACTGCTCAGAGCTTCAACTCCAGTCCTTGCGGCCAGACATATTACCCGTCGTCCTATTCATTGTTTAGCATTCTACAAGAGGGGGCAGTTAGTCCTTTCCCGTTCCGGGATGTCTGCAAGTTACAGGGTGGGCCCCGTTCACTATTGAATTTCGAGACGCGCAAGCGGTTTGCTTTAATTTTATTTAGACAGGCGTAGTGCCCCTGTTTTTAAAGACATTGTACTCACCGCAGATAACTGTAGTGACATGACCGCACTCTGATAGCTGGCCCAAACTGTGCCACACGCCCTCTCGCGTGATCTAGAGATGTACCGATGAGGTTATTTTATTTTTGCTTCCGAAGCAATTCTGATGATGTATGTGTACACATACACGTATGTCATCGGAAGGGGAAAGGGTTAACACTACTCTTTTATAGCAGGCCGGTTAATTGTGGTCCAGGTATATGCATGGACAAAGTGCTCACTTCACTACAAGCAGAGGGGAAAATGATCCTGCAGAAGCTGTACTGTGTAAATAAACTGGTTCACATGCATGACTGTGCTCATGATGTCGTGGCACCTACTTTAGGATCTGGTTTAAGAAGATCTTTCACGCGAGAGCTGAGCTATTGTTCAACACCCGATGGTCCTGGGTGTATTTCCAGCGAAAACATCGTGTAAATAATTGGCATAATGTTGCTTGCTTTTCAATATTCCAGTTTTACTTATGAACCAAATCAATTGGCTGAATTGCCCATGACATGACAACTTGATTTGATTGGCTCTGTTGGGTGGTGGAGAGCTACTTAAAAAAATTACATCTACACAATCTAACCAAATGGATCCAAATTATGAACAATAACCATGCATAGAAAGCCTCACTGAGTCTGACGACTCTTTTTCAGGAGAGTCCTGATTTGGTTATGTTTGGCCATTTATTATGAACAAATGTTTGGCATGTGGGAGAAAACCTGTAGAAAACCCATATATACCACAGAGATAACACAGCTCTGCTGAGATAGATTCCATCCACTTGTTATACTGCAACTCTCTGGCCATTTAACGGGCCAGAGGGTTTTGGGAATATCACAGATTTTAGTAAGCCACAAACCCAATACCTGCTTAGTACCGGATCACAGGCATGCACCACCAGGGATACCCAGACTCCTGGAGGCCTCGGGCAGAATGCCACGTGGACCCCCCCTAATTCATTTGTGATAAAGCAAAAAAAAAAAACACAGGGCCATTGTGGGGGGCCCTCTTTTCTTTTAAGATCCGGAGTACATTACCTTTTTTTGCCGCCGCCACCCCACCCAACCACCCACACCCCACCCAACCACCCCAACCCCACACAACCACCCAACCATCCACACCCCACCCAACCACCCCAACCCCACACAACCACTCAAACCTCACCCAACCACCCACACCCCACCCAACCACCCACCCCCAACCATCCACACCCCACCCACCCAACCACCCACACCCCACCCAACCACCCAAACCCCACCCAACCACCCAACCATCCACACCCCACCCAACCATCCACACCCCACCCAACCACCCCAACCCCACACAACCACCACCCCACCCAACCACCCACACCCCACCCCCACCCACCAACCAACCCCACACACCCCCACCACATCCACCCCATCACACCCACCCCTACCCCACCCACCCACACCCCACCCACCCCTACCCCACCCACCCCCACCCCACCCACCCCCACCCCACCCACCCCCACCCCACCCAACCACCCACACCCCACCCCATCCACCCCAACCCCACACACCCCCACCACACCCACCCCCACCACACCAACCAACCAACCCCACCCACCCTCATCCACCCACCCACATCCACCCCACCTCCACCTACTAATACAATGTTGTGTTTCTTTGCAGGATCAATTCAACTCCCCTGCTCCGACTCGTAAGTTACTTTTTGTGAATTAAAATCTACAATTACTATAATATTGCTCTAATAAACAGTGCTCGAGTATTTTTTTTTACCTGCACTGAACTTTTAGTATGTAACATTTATCTTTTCATCGAAATCAAACCCAATGCAGTAATTATATTTGTTTTCCTTTCCAGATTCTTTCACGATTGTAGGCTCCAACTTGAAAAATACTCAGATTGGTAACAACAACACGATATACTATTCAGATAAGTCCAAAAGACATGCATCTAGAGACGATACGTATTCAAAACAGGATACATAAGAGAAGTGTCGATCTGTAATCATTGGATTAAGTTGTTATTTTAAAGTGCACCTCACAAAGCTGCTGCTGCAACAACACACTTTACACATAGGATGGTAACATGAATTGAACATTAGATTTAGACGAAACAAGTTTTTGCAATTTGGATAAAATGTAACAATTTGAGGTGTGGGAGGGAGAGTTGTTAAGATATGTGATTAAATTTGCAGCGATAAAATCAGTTTGTATTGTAGATTTTAGTTGAATTATTACATCACGTGATTATCTGGCAATCGTCTGTGATCATGGATGATGATGATTGTAATAATTACGTCAGAAGAGATTGTGCATGCACCCTTTACATTCTCATTGTCCCGTATTTTACAGAAAGGGAAGAGTTTGAGAAATTCACATACTTTTTAAACCCTGTGTTACTTGAGCAATATAAATGAGAAGCCATGAAATATATAAAACTGTAAATTACATTATCTCCTGACAACAGGTGTGTAATGCCTGAGCTTCTCAGACCATCACGAAGGGCTTTTTAAAAGGCGTTATTTGGATCGAGTGGTGGTGCAGTATCCAGCGCGCACTGCGCTGTGAATTTAACCCAATGATATGCGTTCGGTTCCTGCCTTATGGCAAACATCAGTGGCGAGTGATATCTGAACCAGTCCCGTGCCCTCCACAAACCTACACTTGAACCAACCGGGTGAAGTACTGACCCAGCATGGCGGGGAGGCCTTCATCCTGAACAGCTGTGACTTCTAAAACTATTTATTTTTACTTAACCCTTTTGGGGAGCACAATTCTTAAATGTTTCCAGATGCCTGTGATTGTCCGTGCTTAAGCAGGTGAATAGTTGTTGACTCACCGCTGGGTTGAGTGCAGTGACAGTGGCTATCTTTTAGTGAATTCCCAGGTGTGAATTGAATGTGGATCAGCGTTATGCCGACAAGGAGATTCTTTGGCAAACCCAGCGACAGCAAATTTAGCATCGTAAAGCATTGCAATGTAACAATTTTGTACACCCCCCCCCATCATCCCCCCACCAAGGGACATTGTTTTTTTTACTGAATTGTTCCTGATGAAGGGGCTTCTGTTAATGGGTTGATTTGCACTGCCGCTAGGTAATTGATAAAACATTGTGGGTGGCAGGGGATGTGATTAAGTAGGTGTAAGAGATTAAAAAAAACAAGTCTAAAAAGGGGAAGCACGTTTTTAATAGTGGCTACCACTTTCTCGATAATGAATTGACCCAATGACTCCATGTGATCCATACATTTACTGTCATTTGCCACCACTAATGTTCGCCAAGCTTACGCCACTGACAGTCAAACTCTTCTGTTGATAAGCAAAGTAAGGATGCGTAAATATTTTAGCATTTTGAAGCTGTACAATAACTTGACGTTTTAAATTCACCGGTTGATAAAATAGTCGTCGCTTGTTATTTCATACTGTAATTATTTGTATTTTTTTAAAGGGACATTGAAATAATTACTATTTTATATAAAAAAGTGTGTGTGTGTGTTATTTGCCACATGTAAAAGTTTGCGCAATTTGTAATGCCTCATTGGCCATATCCTTATGTAATCTTAATGCCAATGTCTTTGTAAATAGTAAATAACCAAAATAAAGAGTCTTCCAGTGAGTTGTACCAAATGTTTGATTTCTTTGTAAGCATTATTTTTAATAAAATGTGCACCTGTGGTGATAGTTTTCCTTTACAGTATTCATAATGAATCAATTGGTTTCTTTTGGGTTAAGTCACCTGTAAAAATGTGTTCCGTCAACCCTCCTCCACCCGACACAGTCACTTAATGAAAGTGTCACCTGAATCCGAAACGTGCCAAATTTATTACTGCTTCAGCACACCGGCGGTGGTGTTGGAGAGTAACAATCTCACAGCATTTAAATGGGTAACGACGTTTCGCCGGAGATTACATCCAGCATCATCAGGTTCTTATCAGGAGCTCAGATCTTTGAGATCATCAAAACGGCGTGACCTATTTGAATGTTGCGAGATGTTTACTCTTCAACGCCACCACAGGTGTGCTGAAGCAGTAAGTAATTGGCACGTTTGATTCGCGTGACACGTTCATTAATTTTCTGTCAGACGGAGGAGTGTTTTACGACACATTTTTGTATTATGTTGAACTTCTTTCACACCATACATAGCCAACGGTGCTATAATCGGCGGTGCGCAGGGGAAGGACACACACCAAACACAAAAATCTGATCAAATGTTTTGCATGTGACCTAACCCAAAAGAAACCGATTATGAATCATATTGTTCGTGAAATACTACATGTACAATTTCGATTGCAGTTGTGCACGTGTCATGCACCAGCGCTCCTCAACCTTTTTGGCACCAGGGACCGGATTCGTGGAAGACAATTTTATCACGGACCGGGGGGGAGGGGCAGGGTTCATCATTGGGTCTTTCCCCCTTTTTAATGAAGCTCTCTGGCAACATCATTAGACCTCCTTTGCCAGTACCAAAATGTAATAATAGGGTTTTTCCCCTTTTTTTCTGGCAACAAAACTGAAACCTTTTTACAAGGATTCATGTCTGCATTAACCACAATACCTGCAGTCAAAATGCAAACAAAGCCGTCCCTTGGTGTGGACCAATCAGTTTCAAAGACAATGCAGGTATTGTGGTTAATGCAGACATGAATCCTTGTAAAAAGGTTTCAGTTTTGTTGCCAGAAAAAAGGGGAAAAACCCTATTATTACTCTCTAGCAACGTTTATTTTTTTACTCATTGCAGCTAGGAGTTAGCTTGTGAGCTTACACAAAACTGACTGAGACAAGTGCGGAGTGCGGGAAAGAGGAGCGGATAGAAGTGGTAAATAAAATCATTGGGGCGGGCCACGCGCGGATTCACCGCTCTCACCTCTTGCTGTGCGGCCTGGTTCCTCACAGGCCACGGACCGGTACCGGTCCGCGGCCCCGGGGGTTGGGGACCCCTGTCGTACAACATTACTCGGTGCGAGTTGCATACGAACGTCGTTTAATTAGTATTTTTCAACAGGAAGGCCTCACTGAGTCGTGACACTTTTTTTTTTAAATGATGGTCCTAAATCAAAATGTTTGGCCAATGCATTTGTATCCAGTGTTTGGCATGTTGGAGGAAACTCCGAGTGACCAGAGAAAACACGTGATGAATGTTTTGATTTAAAGCTTTCGTGACTGCAGGGATTCATATTCTTGGTTCTTTCGGTAAAGTCACCACGTAGAAGGGAAACAATTAAATAATAAAAATATAAAACAATAAAATTCTCACGACGTTTCGACCGCAACACAAGCAGCAATCATCATCAGGTGTGAAAACCACAACAATAAAATTTGAATTTTTTTAAAATTATTTTATTGGTTCCCTTCTACGTGACTTTACCGAAAGAGCCAATAATACGTGATGAATGTGTTAATATATGCATTGCCTCGCACAGATATATTCAAGAATCCATTGGTGCTGCCATTTCATGGCCACCTCATCGCCCGTGCCGACGACACCTGATACCAGGCAGTCTCTCGAGGTTCGATGAGGTCGGGCACATTCAAGGGCGAATCTGCTCAACGGCACCGCATGCGTTTTGTTGTAGATTAGAAACTTTCATCACAACTTCACAAAATCACTTGAGCAAGGGATGTTATGTATGACGAGCTTGTGAGATCAACGTTTGTTGGGACGCACAGTTACGCGGCATCTCTTCGCTGCTGCGTACCCTTGTATCAAGCACGGAGAAAACATTTGCTTCCGTTCGTTGTCACTAGACGATACCTGTGCGTTTGTTTTTAGCAGGCACCCAGGCCTTTTATATATATAAAGTGATGAAGCATCCAATAACGATGGGTTTTTTTCTCTTCGGCATTTTTATAACTTCGTTTCCACTATCACACTGCACCACAGGCATTGCTGCTGAATGTCAGATATCTGAATTAGAGGGTCTATCGTGACAATTCAAAAAGAGCTGTCATTTTTGTAGGCAGTGGTGTGGCGTCGGACCAGACATGACCAAATCTAGGAAAAGTTCCCTCTTCATGCCGAATATGGGGCTTATTAATGAGATGCTTAATACAGCCACTAAAAACGTATACATATTTAATGGTTTTTAGATTTCAATATTTTTAGACGAGGGTTCGATTCTGAGTGGACTTTGATACCATTATGAAGGAAACAAATGCCAGCGTTCAAAGGCATTTGTCTCTTGTTGCACGCGCGGCCTGTTTATAATTACAATCAATTTTGCCGCTTTTTTAATCTTCAAGATTGTTCTTTTGAGGAGTTGCAAACCTCCAGTGGTCGGATTTCTTTTCCCATTTGGCAGACACACACCCTTGCGAAGGTGTTTGAGTTAACGTGGAATTTATATGTGCCTTCTTCCAAGTAGCATCCCATTACCAGGGCTCTCAAAATAAAGAATGAAGCAACAAAGACTTTTCAATGTCACGTGGTATTTTTGGTTAAATAATAATAATAATAAATACGTATCTGGCCACCTCCCAAGTTCTTGTCTTACAACGTAATGGTCATTTAATATAGTTTCCCTACATGGTCCAGTCAGCTAACGGTAAATTTATGGCATTAATTTGTAATTTCTTAAGTGCATTAAAATTGACTTTTGGAATTTACTGCATAGTCGGTAGATTCCGAAAAGATTTTTCTCCGCGTCTCCTACTCTTTACCTCCCACTCTCCGCTCCGTTCTCAGTAACTCTTCATCCCTAAATTCACTAATTCCCGCCCCCGCCCTCACTCTGCGGTGCCGGCTATTACCCCCAACAGTGGGCTCCTAACGCGTTCCAAGACAGCGTTGGCACCATTTTTAATGCCACAATTAAAACGTCCGCCTTAAATCACGTGCCTCCTACAGAAACACATTTCCTCCCTGGGTCCCGATTGTTGATCGTGCAAACGTAAGCAGCAGGAACGAGGCCCAGTGGCTCTGCCGAGACCAAAATCCCTGAGTGAATTCATTCAACGATTTAGGGATTTGCCGTCTGCCGCGTGACTCGCATGTCTGCAGCCAGCCTACAGGCTGCTCTGCAAAGATCGCCCTTCCCACTTGGCTGTGGGGTGCGCGTGTGGCGGATGCAAGCTCATCGTCTGACCACTTGAGGTGGGTGTCTCACTTGGAGGTAGACTCTTCGTGAGTCAACCATTTTTATGGTAACCTAGTTTGTGGTACAGCAACCAGATCACCGTATTTATGCTGGGTTTGTATAGCCTTTCGCGAACGTTTTTTTTTCGGACATTCACATTTCCTCTCATCTGAAAAAAAAAATACTCAAAAGGAATGGCCCAAATATTCCAAAACGAGACCTTTGTAAAAAGTGCTTCAGCTCAATAAATAATTTGTTAACGGTAAATGTGCAGCCCTGTAACTGCTCGTTCGTGCCACTGCTGGCAGAAGAGCTCAGCAGATCCCCTCTTGTTAAGTTCTTTCAGCCGAATCTTCAACATTTTCCAGGCATCTTGGAAGAGGGTAGGAGAGGACCCAAGTTTTACCCTCACCACACGCAAGCTGCCGACTGACTCAACTTTTTTTAACACATTTCCCTCTTAAGTCCAGTGTGCTAACCATTAACATCCCGTCAGCGTCCATGGGGTAAAACGAAATATATTACTCATTTCTTTGAGAGGTTTTAAGCACCAATATGAAAGCGTGGTTTCATTACGCAACCAAGGAGCTCCGTTCCTGTGCTATGGAAGGGTGCAAGTTCTCGAGCAGCCAACTGAATTTGATCTTTTTGCCCATGGGCTGCTTGGTATGCCTCCTTCACATTTACTTATCCCAGAGCGAACATGATGGGACGCCCGCGAATCTGTTAACAGCATCGCGTCTTACCTCCCGATAGGTTAATTGTTGTGCGGTGCTATACAGCGTTGATGTGGCCACGCGGTAGCCAATTTCGATGTATTGGCGGTACACCGCTCCTCGTAAAAACAGTCTGACGACGCCCGCTGTTGCCTTTCGAGTGAGCTGCAGACTCTGAATGAGAAGTTGCAACTTGGATTCAACAGCCGCTTTCCCATTCGAGCGTGCGCGGTGGTGACAACGCGAAGTCGAAATCTGTTGATGCCACCGTCCCGTCAGGAAAGAATGATTGCGGAAACGAGAATCGAGGAACCTTCCGAAACGAGTCCAGCCGGTGCACGCGGGGAGAAATCTTCGCCTTTGGAACACGGAGGCATCATCCACTCGTTGTCAGGGCCGGGTGCGTGATAAATACGGCAGCGGACCGCGAAGCTTCGCGTTCAGCTGCTCGAAAACGTTCGCCTGCCGGACTGTTTAGACGCCACAGGAAGTGGCGTTGACGCGCCGCCAACCCCCGCAAGATTTTCTCACCTGGGTTGCGAATTTCGGGAAAGTAAATAAATATTGAGATTTTTTTTTTAAGTTTTTAACACAGCGCGGGTGGTAACCGCTAATGCGGCCATTTGCCGCTTGTTGCAGAGATTCCCCAAGTTCACCGTTCGAGCGGGGCGAAATTATAAATCGCCGTCAATGCTCGCCATCTGCTGCACAGTTTGACGTTCGAGAGCCTGCGAATGTGGGGTGGAAATGAGCACGCCACGTGTGCGGGGGGCATCGCGGGTCCGAATTTTTGTTGTTGAAAAAATTGAAGAAGAAAAACAACCGACCCTCAAGATGACCTAATTGGGTACTGCTACACCACAACATCGCCTCCTACTGTCAGGCA